TGAATAACATGTGTTATTGTCTCTTAATTCGATGCAGCTTCATAGTCTTATTGAATGACTTCCTCTCACTAGCTACAACCAAGCCTAATCTCGGTATTATTCCCCACACTATATAACTTGACATAGGAGGTAGAACGTAAACACATTTGGTCAAAGACAGTTAACCTCTTCAAGTTTTCTGCCTTCAACAACCATACTTCACAGCAAGAAAGAAGGACATGCGAAAGCCAATCATTGAAGAGTACTATATATATATATATATACTTCAAGATTATGGTGAATACCAATCACAGGCTATTATTCTGTCAGTGATAGAGTACTAGGCATCATTAAACATTAATTACATATCTTTCTTATTAATACAACTGAGAACATATGAGTATGTTAAATTTCCATCAAACTACACTTGGTTGTTATCAGTAGAACCATTACAGCAGTACAGGAGTAGTTATCTTTCTTATCAAAAGGAAACAATGAATATTAGAAAAGTTCTTAATGTGAAGTGTTAGTGCAGCACGTGAGTATGTGACGTGTACTAATGGCAAGATTTATCAGTAGTCTATAAAGAGACGACACTAAATGTAATGAGAGAAGACAAGAGACTTGGTAACGGAACGTGGGATTTGGTGTCTCTGTACATATATTGATATTATGTACAGCTTATATGAAAATCGTCATTTGCACAGATATTCCGTGTTGTGTTAGCTCTGCCATTCCATTGTGATTCTGTCTTCTTTTCGTGTCTTCCATACTTTGCTGCATTACCGCTTCATTTTCTCTCTTTGACGTTAAATCTCTCTCTCTTATTTTATGTTTTTGTGCTGATGAATGTCCCTTCACATACTGCTGATAAATTTTGTCTGTAGCATACGACAGAAGTAAATCTGATAGTGAGGTTTCATTATAGTCTGTGCATCAAAACATATTAATCAAGGCACGATGACCTGACGACTTGACAATGAGTTAAATCAATCACTAGTACTTGTAAATAGCAGCAGTCATTTGGCGATTTATTTCATTTGTGTATACACAAAAGTTTTGTCCAATCCCTAGAAGAGCCATAAAATTTATTATTTTCCATCCAGATTAGATTGCAATTGTTGTCTTTACTAGCCATGTTGCATATAGGTAAATGTCATCTTCATTTATACTATTTCCACTATAATGTTCAATCTTAGATTCTCAACTCAAGATTTTCTCTAACTATAATAAGACAACAATCGCTCTATTTTCTGTTGCTATCAAGACACTTCAATGAGGGTTTTATTGTTATTACCAACCAACAAAATGAATTTATTAATGAAAATTAATTCTCGTGCTCTTAACAAAATTTACCACCATTCTTAACACAGTTTATTATCCTTACTTCCCAAAAACCTCTTGTAAGAAGTGTTCAGTGATTCAAACAAAAATCGGATAAAATATTCTCTCCGCATTAATAAGCTAGAAGCAAAGAAAATATGAATCGTGTGCTGATCAAATTGGAACTCTACGCATCATCATCGAACAAAACATAGAACGGCAGTCAAACATCTCTCTGCTTTCACTTTATCGACTTCAAAAAGGCTTCCCACAGAGAGCGTTGACTGAGAAATAATTTGCAAACTGCTTTGACACTACGGCGTGCAGCGCCCAAGTCTTCATTAGCCTCATTCAACAGCTGGCTATAGGACAATGCCACGTGTCAGGAGACCCACAACAGAAAACTCAGTGAGGCGTTTAGAGTGAATATAGAAGTAAGACAAGGCTGCTTATTATCACCGATGATATTCTTAATTGTAGTGGACTGGACTACGCATCAGACTGCGCATGAGGGTGAAAAGACAGGAACACGATGGACCAATAAGAAGACTCTAGAAGATCTGGATTTCGCGCCTGAATGATTTTTGTTTAATGTTACACAAAACTCGGAAATGTGCAGGCGAAAACCAATAAACTGACTGAAGAGGCTAGTAGCGAAGACAGGACTTCAGGTAAACATAGAGAAGACAGAGGTGATGAAGATAACCGATAAACAGCAACAACAACATCAACCAGCACCAATGATCATCAACGGGATAGAATTGGGAAAGTTCACTTTCAATACTTATGTATGAAGCAAAGTTTCTACCACAGGCGGGTGGAACGGATGAAGATATCAAAGCAAGCCAGCCGCCCAGAATCTAAAAAGCAAGATACGACTTCATCAACCTGAAACCAGTTTGCAAATCTTCTGAGCTGCACTTAGCCAGCATGAACAATAAGATTCGGATTCTATACAACACAAATATGAAGTCAATGAGTTCTTCTATACTGGTCAGAAACTTGCACTGCATGCCCGTCATGAAAAGCATCTCCAACAAGTCACAGCAGACGTTTATCATCAGCTGTATCCTTCAACCGCTCCATACTGAAGATCGAATGGCTGGGCAGAAAAATTACCAACAAGAAACTCTGGCTCACAACAAACCAATTAAGAACCAAGTGCTCAGAAATATGCAAGAGAAAATGGAGTTGGAATGTGCATACATTGAGGAGGCCGTCAAATAACATAGCGCTATTGCCAGGCCATCGCTCAAGTGGAATCTCAGTGGGAAGCAACGAGTGCGTCGTCGATGCGAGGGTGAGATGGAAGCAATCTATTGTTGGGAGAAAGAGATGAGATATTATGCGTGATCGTGGACCCAGCTGAAGAGAATGGCAGAAAATAGCAGAAAGTGGAGATGTGTTGCTGAAGCTCTATTTTACACTCGGAATCCAAGGGAATAGTAATGATAAAGAAACCATGAAACTGCATAAATTTGGACAAAGATGAAGGTACAACAGATAAAAGGAATTCTAATGACCTCATAATTTCTTCAGAACAACAGTAATTACATAAAACAATTTTTAGTAAATTCTTCTTCAAACTCTACAATTATAAAACCATCTATTTTCGCACACAATTACCAGGAAGTGTATTGAGGTATAAGTACAAAATGAAATAATAGTCAGCGAGTTCTTATCATCATTTAAATGCATTTAAACCGTATAACCAATAAGAATATGAGATAAAATTAAGTGAAATAACCTAGTGACATTTTTGCATGTATATGGTCAGCAAGAAAGTGCAGGTGTACACCATGTACATGCTCATCTATCAGTAGCCAAAGCGGCAATAATAAATACCAGAAGACCTAGTCTTCGTATCCAGAAAAGTATATGTTCAACCGCTTTGTTTACCTAGGCCTGAAGTAAGGTAAACAAATTCTTGATAAACATTGAAAATTATCACTTTAAATCCCTCTTTAATTTTTTCTTTTCTCCCTCTATTTCATTGAAAAACTTTTACCTCAGACATTTCACATCAAATGATCTTTCTCATTATGTTTATTACCTCAGGGTTATGTGATGCTTTGCAAATATCTTATTGTATACTTTGGTTGGACACTAGTATTTAGTGTGATGTGTTCAATCAAAGTATCTAAAACAGTCCTACAGGAGGTCAATGGTGAGACCTAGTAGCTCACTGGTAACGTCTCAAACTGCAGAACTGGGTGACGCGGGTTGGAGTCTCAAAAGGGACATTAGTTTCTTCAAGGTTGCAGATACCTCTTGTTGGCTGGTGAGTGCCTACTAGCACGAAACCTGGGTCGAAGACTTCCTATCAGTTTTCAATCTCATTAATGTTTCACTAATAGTACTTTTGTGTCTACAAAACCCCATTTTCATTTTGTCACCATTGTCGCTGTTTGTCACTCTTATACTTACATCTAATCTATCCCATATATTGACTTATTTCCCCTTATTAATATTGTCTCTCGTACCACTGATTACACTCATTCCTACAGACCATTACCTTTTTTTGGATTATTTATACACAAACACATTAATGAATTATTACATTTCATTCTATCTCCTGTTCTTAGTGACTATACATTTTATATACATTTCAATAATGATCATAACTCGCCGACCATTATTTCCTCTTGCACTTATACCACAGTACACTTCCTGGCGTGCATGCTAAAATTTATGGATTTATAGTTGTACAGCTTGAAGAGGAATTTGTCGAAAACAACTGTTCTTTTTGGCTATTACTTTTCTGAATGCATAGAAGAAACTTAAAAGCGGCTCATTCACCATAGAAGTGACTGTTTACTACATATCAGTTAACATAAACCGTTTAAAAAACATAACAGCAATATAGGTAAGATAATCAGAAGTGAAATATCAATTGCTTGGGTGACAAAAAACCAGTTATATATTTGCTAACTAAAAGGATGTCAGTTGCAGCAATTATCACCTGAGGGGCTTAAAAGTATCATATATGATATTGACTGAAAAAGGCTTTCCAAAGAAACAGATTACACAATATAAACACATTTAATGTTCTAAGATGAAAGACAATTTTGTTTACAGCTGCCGTTATGACCAGCTTGTTATCTTGAGGTCAATATCATCATTCATGTTTAACAGTAATTTAGACCAAAGAGTAAAATAACCCCTTAAAACATAATCCTGGAAGCTGATGATGATTGGCAGACGCTAGTTTGATGCAACCATTCGCTAATTTTATGACTCCATTTTTGTAACACATTCGTTATGTGTATTTTCAGAATCAATAGCCCACTAAGCAACTCACCGATCTTGGGTTCCATAAGAGATGTCTACGCCGACTGGAGCGGTTGTTAGTTGCTTTTTGGTTTGTGAAAGAACCATGAAAACATAATCATTGCAAGGCTTGTTAGAAAAACATTAATAATAACAATCAAAGACCCGTAAAATATAGCAAGATTGAATAAAGAACGCAGAAATGCTAGAATACTCCTGTTATTCCGTTTTGCTGGACGCTTTATTACATTAAGGTTGTAGAAGGAACTTTAAAATGAACTAGGAAAGAAACAAGATACAAAACGTGATAGCGTTTTCAAAGAAAAGTGCTTCTTTAGTAGAACTATGTATCAACTATTCTTAAAATGACGATATGAAAGACATAATACATATTATTAAAAGGCCAGTTTTGAAATACGATAACCAACCTTGTGATGACATGTCTTCAGCAGCAAATCTCTCATCGAATAATACACTGTGAAAGAATGTGTAGACAATATCACTCTACAAAAATAAAAAGAATTTAGAAAAAAGCATATCAAGTGTAAAAATAAAGTTACTTCAAAGTGCGGAATAAGATGCATCAAGTTGTCATGAAATTGAACAGTAACCAATATTATCATTGGGAGAAACAAATCATATTAAATTCAACGATTTTTGATAATTTCAAAAAGCAGCCTAACGAAATATGTGAATTCAAGACAGATAAAAGTATACATCGTGAAGAAAAGGGGAAAAGGTATTTTATTCTTGCAACACCTAATATATTTAAATGAGAAAATGCATGGTGAATGTATGAATCAAAAGAAAAAGGGAGATTTGCAAAATCTTTCACACACTCAATAGTTTGATTAGATTTCAGATCAAAATGGCTGGTAAAAATAGACAGCAACTTAAGTACTTTTGATTGGAAATTAGTCAGTAACTAGTGCAATGTGTCTAGTCCTTTGTTTGGTGCAAAATGAATTCTACCAGTCAAGTTTGCAATGTGGCCACCATTCAATGGGCTCGCTATCACGGTGCATTTTGAATCGTTAATATTAGATAGTTGGAGGCAATCTGCAGGAAGCCTTAGACCTACGTTTCATGCTTGTTGGCATTCATCATTCAGCAAGGCGTATCTAAGACCTTGAAGGAACTTCTGTTCCTTCTGAGATTCGAACCTGTGTCCCCTGGTGCTGCAGTCAGAGACGTTACCACTGAGCTATTAGGGCTCACGATTGAGCTGGGTGACGCGAGTTAGAATCTCAGAGGGGACATGAGTTCTTTCAAGGTTGCAGATACGTATTACTTATGAGTGCCCACTAGCATCAAACCTAGGTCCAAGGCTTCCTGCCAATTGCCTCCAACCATCTCGCAGTATTGAAGCCAACAGTAGTTGGATTATCATAGCACACACAACTACACGGATATCAATTACATGGATAAATCCCATGCGTTTGGCTTAAAACACACCCATGATGATCTATACTTTGCCATTATCAATCCCATGATCCCACATGGTAAAAGCACATTTATGCGAATACCATTAACATGTGACAGTATAGTTACTTAGTTAATACAACTAGTACGGAAAACACAAAGATCGTTTCTGCAATAGCAGTAAGGTTTTTGACTGACTGTGTGTACTGAAAACGATGAAGAAATTTCGTCATAAATAGTTTAAAAAACTTTTGAAAAGTGTAAACGTGAAATGATTTCGTGCAAGCATGTGGCATTACTCAGTGTATACAACAAGTCAACTAAATAAAAGTAAATACTCTGTTTAAACACTAAATCTTTGAAAGTGAAGTACCCATACATTAAGGGACCATGTTATCTGATCAAGCTGAATACTTTACACATCATAAATGCCTATCATGAAAGTTGCTTCAGCTCAGTATTAATAGTAAACAACTATATTGTAATTAAAAAGACAAGCCAACAGAAAACAGTAAACATACACAAGGTATATGGAAGACATTTTCAGCGGTAAAAAATCACAACACTACAAAAAGTGAAATTATCATAAATAGTAATTTTACCTAAAATACAGTAGAAGCTTTATCAGTAGCTGACAAGGAATTAAGTATAAATCAACTAGGTAAGGACAAGGAGCAGGTTCTTTTGTGTCACTATGTGAACTTTAGAAAGCTCCACTTAATGTGTCATCATAAACTCAATTTTTCCGACAATGTCACTCTATTAAAGTGAGTAAACAAAACTCGATTTTGTATTTGATTTGAGGAAACTTAGCATAAAACTCAGACAATGGATGTGGTGGTCTTCACAGGTCACATTCTTGTCCATTATAATTTGATATGCTGACAAAAAGCTTTAATTTGTAGCTGGTGATGTAATTTCAAGAAATTGACGGGGATGCAGCGTAACAGAGACAAGGGGGAATAATGTATAGCAAAATATTTTATGTTTGTAATCTACCTAAGTTCTTATTTACACAAGGCATCATAAAATTAGCTGGTTAAGGAGCATACTTAAGTTCATTTAGGGTAACAGACATTATTTATTTTATTTAGTTCCTTTTTGGTTCCAAGTGAAACCATAGGGCTTCAAGGTAGAGCTTTGAAGTTTCAGTAGCAGTGATGTATTTAGGGGATGGAGTGTCTAACCCCTCCGCCAAACTTCCTTCTTTGTCAGGGTTACGAACAACTAAGGGAGGTAAAGGTGTGCACCAGCCATGAATCGAACGCTGGATCACATGTATAGTCGACAGGCATTCTATCACCGAACCACCGACGCAGTGTACGACAAACATCACTCGAACCTAATCAGAAACTCACACATTATGTAACAGCATAAGCAGATTTGTAAACACTGTTAATCAGACTATTACTAAATGACAGCAATTAAGATTTACATCAGACACCGCATTCGGAATTCGTTCCATCGTCTCTAACTAACTATGTTTTGGTGAAAGGTCAACAAGCTGGTCCCGTAACCTGAAGGTGCCAGGTTCGACGCGCAGGTGAGCACAGCAAGAAAGTTCAAAACTAGAAATAAATACCTGTTCCGTAATTTTTAGTTTTCAATGATTCTTTCTTGGTTCGTGATGAAATTTATATTAAAACATATTTACATAAAACTTACTTTGGCTACTATTTCATCATCCGAAAGTAGACTGTCAACCAATGATTGAACATGATCTTGTGATCGACTTGAACTAATACTAATAGAATTCAATGAGCTGATTATATGCGAAACAGTTTTTGTAACACCTGAATTAGGGAAATTCTCTTGTAAACGAGCTTCTAATTCTTCTAAATCAGGAAGACGTCGATATATTCTTGTCGGTACACGACAATTTTCTCGCCAAATATTCATAGGAAAATAATAATCCTGTTTTAAAAAATATTTTGAATATTATTAGCACATTTTCGTATCATTTATCCAACGATTATTTTTATTTCATAAATAAATATTATTTTAACAATTCTTCAGATGAATTGAGTTCATTACATCATAATGGTATTGCCATTGGTATTCAGATGTATCCATAACAATCCAGAAGCTAATTTTTTTCTATTTCGATACAGTATTGTGAAATCTTTGATTTTTATAAGATATCATGATGAGTGAACTCAAGGAGACTAAAACAGAAGTTCATTACAAAATGAATAGTGTTCCCCTTAACTTATTTAACATCGTTATCACAAGCTAGCTTCCCTTGTACATCAAACTAAGCATACAAACACCTTATGATAACATTAATTCATACTTAATGCTACATATAAATTGGGCAGTATCAGAAGTGTGAGCAAGGTGCATTTTTTTATTCTTTCAAATTCTAAGTAGGACATTAGGCTTCAGCTGCGAAATTTCGCTCTGTCTGGACTCAACATAGAACTTGGCACCGAAGTGCAACAGTTCGAGTTGCCACGTTCCACATACCACACAAAGGTAGACAAGAAGATGAGTGAAGAGAATCAATACAGTCTGACAAGTTTAAAAGTGAGACAGAATGGGTAATGGTTAAAAGGGAAAGATTACAGAGACTGAATACATCTGCGCTGGCCATTGACAACGATTTTGAGCCATGTCACCTATTGTCTCCAGCCATTGATTCCTAGAGTCCCGAGGGCCCCAAACTGGAAGTCTGCATCTCCCTACCTGACTCAGTTTAACTGTCAAGGATTTCATGGATTGATGAGGCCATGTTTTTGTTTGGCCAGCACTTACTCTTTTCCAACCTGCACCTATATCAGCTGGTAATGCCCGTCGAGGGAGGTGATGGTTAGCCATGCGCAGCACGTCACCTAGCCATCTTAATCTATGTAACTTTATAGCATCGTCGATTGATTTTCCCTCTTCGCCCAACACTCTACGCCTAACGTCAGCATTACTTACCTTATTAAACCACCTAACATGAGACAGAGATCGCAGACATCTATGATCGAAAGCAGTTAACCTTTTCATGTCTTCAACTCGTACTGGCCATGTTTCAGAGCCGTAGAGAAGGACGGAGCGAACTGATGAGCAGTACACACGTCCCTTGGCTGATAGCCGGATGTCACGCCTACGCCAGAGATGGTGTGAGTCAGCGAAAGCAGCCCGAGCGTTTTGGATCCATGCTGATATTTCGTCGTCAATCAGTCCGTTGGTGCTGATACAACTACCCAAATAGGTGAAGTGGTCAACATGTTCTATCACTTCACTCCCTATCAATAAGCTAGGAGTTGACGTAGTCTATTCCTGTAGCAGCATCTTACATTTGACAGGAGCGATGAAATTTCGGTAACGATGATATCATTCTTACGGAGTGAAGCTGCTAAACTCACACGCAAATTTCTCTCTTGACTGGCCTTACTATCAGCTTAGCAAGGTTTAGGAGTGTGTCGGCTGGGGATCGACCTTCAGATCACATGGCGGATAACTGCTAGAAGCTATGAAATACTCAGATATCAGTCTCTATAAAATAGACCGCCTGAAATCAATTCTGATGTTAGTACAAAGAATGAAGTAGTCATTTAAAGAAGCATATTATAAGCTTTAGTAACATTGAAAAATAAATTGGATTTTATTGTACAATGTCTTTAATTTTTTTGGGTATTAGCTTTGTTTGTTTGAATACAACCCTTTTAAATCTAAACACGTTATTTGCTGTAATTTCATGGTTTGCTATAGCATACTCAAAATAAAAGGCAGGCCATATAATATCTGTTCAGTTGTATTCACTTTCGATGTTGTTTTAATTCGACAATTCATGGTAAACACTAATTTAAAATGTGTTTTCGAAAGAATCTAGACTGCTTTACTGTACTAGTCAGTCAAATCTCAATTTCTTCGAAGTAGATAAGAACTCTTAACTATACTGCCAATATGATAATCCTGTTACACTGTAATTTCGAAATGTAAAAATATAAAGATGAAAGCATAGAAAGTTGATTAAAACCTAGACAACTTACAGAATGTTTATCATCAGTCTTCTTTTTCACTGCTATCTCGACTACAATAGCATCCATATTTCCATCTGAATTACTTCTAAAATGAAATGTTGATTTTAAAAGATGAATTTAAATAAAGTCAATCGAATGAATAACTCATCTGATTAGAAGTAATTCGTATTTTATTTAAACATCTTATTCTAAAGGATTCATTGATGCATAAAAAGCATTACAATTGTTCAAGAAAAGACAGTCATTATGTAAGTAGATGTTAGACCACACACATAAAGTATGTGTGTAGAAGAATGCACAAAGTATGACTGATCAACTGAACAATGTTAGCTAGTAAAGTCGTCTTAAGTAAGAAATAAACGAAAGGAATTCAGACGTGAACATCAAAGTTTACTTGATTGATGTGTTTCTGATCCATCTAGATGAATAAATAACAATTACAGAATTGTAACATACTAAGTCAATTGTGAAGAAAGCAACACAGGTGTTGATTACTCTTAAATCAATGTGAAAATCTCATTAAACTAAGATAAAGGCAGTTTATCTATACGATTTAGAGAAGAGTTTCCAACAAGCTGTTTCATGCGTTCAACAACAAATACCTTCTCTGGTTCAATCGTGATGATCAGTTGGTCAACCATAAAGGATAGGCAACAAGGAACCACAGTAGTTAGGTGACCGAAAAGATATGGAGACGGAAGTGGAATTAAATAAGATATACGCTGAGGAGAATTTTGATTGACATTAGGCACCGAGCCTTCAAGTGGAACTCAAAATGGAAGTGGCCAGTTGAGGAAAGGAAAGCTTGCAGGCAGTCGTGAAGTCAGTTGAAAGTGATGAAAGAGAATATAATGCAGTGAACACGTGCTGTTATAACCGTACGCTTCCTTTAGATATCAACAAACGAATAATATTGTTTTCAATTAGATCTCACCAGGCTTAACTCTAATATATATAAGTTTACAAAATGAAAATTCAAATATAAACTAATCATGGTGTTTTGTTTATAGGATAATACGGTGGCGAATATAAATTGTGCAATTAGTCATCATAGTAGTAATGATAATAATAGTGGTTTTATCAATAATAAGGATGAAAAAGTGAGGCAATCTGTGATAACACGAATAATGAAAAACAGCATGATTAAACAAACAAATGTTTAGGTGGAAGTAGTCGATAAAGGCAAGTAAAACCAAATGAACTGATTAAGTAATGCCAGATTGTTTTTTTAATTTTCCTTCACGTTCCCCAGTGGAAAATAGGGACTCAAGCTAGCGGCTTGAAGTTTCTGTAGCACTGTTTATTTTACAGGATGGGGTTGTTAGCCTCATGCCCAACCCTTCCTCTTTACCAGCATTATTTCTGGCTTAGCGAGGTAAAGGAGTGCGTCGGTGTCTGGGGATCAAACCCCGGATCATGTACATAGTCGGCGAGCGTCCTAACTGCTATACCACCGACGCACGGATTGTAAGGGAAGTAAATGAGACACATTTTCAATGAAGATGCGATAAGATTAAGGAATGATAAAAAGGGATTGAAAATATAAACAAGGCGTGGTGTAGAAGTCATTAGTTGGTTATTTTTTAATAGGCCAAAGGAGGGATAATGGCTGTACCAACTTCTTTTGAATGCATAGTTGAGGTTTAATAGTTCGAATGCCTATCGCCTGCCTCAACTGTGTGCAGTAGAAAAATACGAAGTCTATTTGAAAGATTCGGTGGGATACGATGAATTACTTTGAAAGCTCTCGTTTTCTCCACTACAGGACCGCTATCAATGAAATGTGACAGAAATGAGCTTGATTTATATTTGAATTGTATTTGTAAACTTATATATATTAGAGTTAAGCCTGATGAGATCTAATTGAAAACAATATTGTTCGCTTAAATGTGTTGTTCTAAACGAATAATAGTAATAGTTTTTAATCAGGCGATAGCGTTTACGATTAGCAGAAGACTTTACTGATAAAACTCTAAAACGTCATGTCAAAGGATTAATCTCAAAAGATTTAAAGTTTTCAAATGTTTATCGATCAAAAGTAGGTAGACATAAAAACAAGAAGGTTGCAAATCTTTAGAAGAAATGATTGTTTTGTTAGCTATAGGGTTTTCCATCCTTTCTCTACAAAGGTTAGTCATACACTAAAATCTAGGCTACATACTCAAAGATCAAAGTGTTATAGAATAATGACCGGTGTTACTGCCAAACATTTTGGTTACAGCAGGATTCAAATAGTTGTTTGCTTCTTACAGGTAAGATTATCAGTAGTAATTAAGTGTAAACATAGGATGTAATTTGAGCATCTGGGACATTTGTCCACAACTTCACATTGGTTAATGATCACCTTACACATATATTGTGATCTGTTCAATAAACAATTTATTTTTATTAAAATACGTACTTTTATAAGATTATATGACTCGTGTGGCGAAGGAAGGCTTGAATTAATTAGACAAGTGAACGACTATTTTATACAAAGTTATTCAGAAGAAATAATAGTACATCGAAATGCACATTCACTAGCTTAGATAGATAATAGACAGTTCACCTAACACTTTATTTGGTGAATGCGATAGTACAATAATGATGAATATTTAGCATATTGTAGGTAACCATGATTTTTTAAATTCTCGATTATGAAACACAATTATTTTGTGTAGATAGTAATGAAATAATTAATAATTAATATAACGATTTTTATTTAATGAATAAAGTTAAAACATATAACCTTTTTCTTAAAAAAAAGCATCTAGTTTATGAATAATTTAATTTTTTGTTTTCCGGGTAACAAAGGAGAAAGAAAAAGCTGTAACAAGTAAGAAGTACACAATGGATGAGTGGTGAAGTTGAACGTATTCAGACTAAGAAATGAATTTTGCTTCAGTATAAGGGGCTTGAACCAATTACATAGTATTACTGTAACTAGATTAGACTACAGCGTCTATGTTACTTCCCAGAGAGAGAAGGAAGGAGAGACGGGCAGAGAGACAGCATTCTGATTACAAGCAGTGGAAAAATTCTCTTCATTTTGGGGGATAATATAAGGTAATGGCGACAAATATGAGCTTGATGATTAATTTATGGAATATCAGTTGGATAGAATAAAGCCTACCCATAGACACCTGCTATATTTAGATGTATTATGCTGTAGTTACATCATTATTTTTAAAGTGAAATTGTGTTCTATTTATAGACATAAGGTTGGTAGTTGAAAGAAAGAAAGTCTTAGAAGAATACTCCTGCAGCTGGTTTTTTTCATCTAGAGTTTGTAAAATACAATTTTTATGCTTCACAACGGTAATTACAGATAATTACTTGAATTTTCCTTATTCAGGATGACCACAAAAAGCTGTTAAGCCTTCTTTAGACAACCATTGACAAATAATTTTACCACATTCACAGTACAAACACTCTATATCCCTAAAACCCGTCTTAGAGGAATAAATAGCAATACTACTTAGTATTTCAGTCACATAGTTGCCATCCAAAAATATCTTCAGCACACTCAAATATTTCTGAAAACACATGTTACAAGATGTTTACTTTTCAATCAAAAGCTTTTTTATTTCATTACGTCCGCAGTGGAACATAGGGGTCCAAATTAGAGGTTTTAAGTTTCGACAGTAGTGGTGTTTGTTTCTATTGGATGGGGTTGCTAACCTCATGCTCAACCTTCCCTCTTTACCAGTCTTATAACTGGCTTAGTGAAGTAAAGGAGTGCATCGGCCGGGATTCGAACCCCGGACCACATATGTGGTCGGCGAACATTCTACCGGTGTGCCAATGACGCACATTCAATCAAAATACAAAAGAAGAGTGTGTGGAAATATTTTATAGTGTTAGGCTGAGTTTTCTTGAGTGAGTTTCGACTTCAAAAGCCACACTGTACCAGATATTCTTCTGAATATATTTCATAATCATTATTATTACTTATTTTATTCATTTACGTTCCAAGTGTAAGAAAGAACTTCAAGTTTCAGCGAAGCAGTTTCGGTAGCAGTGGTTTTATTTTTATGAGGTGAGATTACTAGTCTCACATCCAGCTTTCCGTCTTTACTGCCGGCTTAACGAGGTTTAGGAGTGCATCGGCTGAGGGTCGAACCCCAGTCCATGTCTGTGGTTCGTAAGCGTCCCACCACTAGACAACCGACACATTATTTTGAATAAACTGTTTTAATTCCTACAACCCTTCAACACTAAAATGTTATGAACGGTCTTGAAACGGTAATGACTCATTACTTAGTGTATGAAGGGAATATTGAGCAAAGTAGCAACATTTTGAGCACAGCTTATTTAATCTAGTGTCAGTTACAAATATCTTGTGTTGAGAGAGTGAAACGGGGCTCAAATGTATCGTATACAAAAGAGGTTCAGTTGTTTCAAATGTAATCCTCCATTCCAAAGTAAACTATTTAACATCAGTGATCATATTGGTGGCTTGCTTGAATCACGAGGCTATCTGAATTTCCACCGAATACAATGCATCATATTTTCTTTAATTGTCGTTCTTTTAATCATTGAATTATATCCCTTAGTCGCAAAGTTTATTCATGAACACTTTCAACTTTCGGAGATGAAGAAAATATACCATGAGAGATTGGTCGATGCTACAAATCCAATAGTATTGTGATGCATGATATTTTTTTTTCCTTCACGTTCCCAGTGGAACATAGGTCTTCAAGCTAGAGACTTGAAGTTTCTGTTGCAGTGTTTGCTTTTACAGGATGGGGTTGTTAGCCTCATGCCTAACCTTTCCTCTTCATCAGCTTTACTTCTGGCTGAGTGAGGTAAAGGAGTGCGCCGGCCGGGAATCGAACCCCGGACCATGTGCATGGTCGGCGGGCGTGCTAACCGCTATGCCACCGACGCACAATGCATGATATACTACAAATTATTATACTTGAAGATCCTAAATGAGAAGAAGCATATGTTCTACAATAAATTACACTAAAAATTTTGCCCACTGTCACAATTTTGTCCAGACTAAAGCCTTTATTATTTCAAGTTTGATCATGAGGTGATATTGTGGTGTAGGCTACTGGTAATATTTATCACTAGTCTATACAGAGACGTTTATCGGCATAAAAACATCAAATAGCAAGGAGATACATTTGAATTCAGAGAAAGCAAACGATAGAGCTTTGCAGAGAAACATGAGAGATGTAAAAGGAATACAAAGAAATACAATATGAAGACCAGAATTAGTACAAAGCGATACAAAGAGATACCAACTTGCAAATAAACATTTTCTCGTCTTCCACCGCTAGCGAACCACTGAAAACAAGGAAGTACTAGATAGCTGCTTCGTCCTAGTTTGGAACTGATCGGCAGCAAGCACCAACCGGGAATTGCGGTGGGTACCAGTGTCTGCATGGTCAACGAGCTCACCCGGTTAAGAGTGAGGACAAAACTCGTCGACGATGTTGGCTGGTGGCCACGCTAAAATCATTAATCGATAAAAGTTGGAACTCATGGATCGCATACCAACGGCTTAATGGTCTACGAGTTCACCTTGTAACCGCAAAGACCTCGTTTTGAAAGCCAGTGAGTCCCAAGCTATGACCAAACAGTTGTCCAGTACTCTCTGGTTTTTGAATGGTTCTCTAACCGGTATCAATCTATGATCAAACTTGGAACATTACTATTATAAGACGTTATTACACATTTGTGCTGTGAAAAAATATTTGGTGTTCTTTCATCAAGTTTTCCCTAAAAGAAGCTATCATTTCTGAGCTTCTGGAAGTTTCAACGTGCTCACAATTTCGACTTTTAATATCAATCTAAGCGTTATCACTAGTAGTATTTTTCACTGCCGTTTTTTTTAGGCAGTTATCTTATATTAAACACGTTCAGCTTTCTTATTCACTCTTTTATCTACACTGTTAAAAATTCTATGATATAGCTTCTACTAACATCTTATTAACATATTTCTAATTTCTTGATAACTTTCAGTACTAGATAGAAGAATTCATCCTAGGCTCGTATTCCCAGTTTTCAGATTGGGAAAATATGCTCATTAAAAAAAAAAGCTATCTTCCCTTTTTTACACAGTGAACTCAGCGTAATTAATTACTGCTGATAAAATTTGTGCAGGCACAACCATAGTAACATGAGAGTGTAGGTGTCAATCTTTAGGCGACTATTCATCTTACAATGATATATGTGGGAACAAATTTGAGAATAAATATCAATCACAAGCTATGGAAATTACAGATGACTTTATTACACCAGAAATAATAGAAAAAAAAGAGATTGTAACTAAAAATATTCAAGTCTGGAGAGAATTCAGAAAATGAAGTCATAAGATATACAGATTTCTCAATTTTTTAGATTAGGAATACATACCTAAAAGAATAAAGACTTTCTTTAAAACAATCTGTAAACTAATCAGATGACATTAAATATGTTTGTATAGGATGTAAACAATTGTAAATCATACCGTTCAATCAAAAGTGAAATATATTTATATCCTTTAGATAATGTTGAATGGAATAACTTCAGTACACTTACGCTTATTGTGAATCACGAAAGAGGTAACACCGCGCTCACTGTTTATACTGTACTGTACCCCGCTTAATTTACTAAGTCATAAAATGAGGAAAGATGAATCAAGTGATGATCAAATAGCAAGCCTATGCATCATCATGACAGAACAAAGCATAGAATGTCAGTCGAACTTCTCTCGACCACAACTTCAACGACTACGAAAAGGCCTTCAACACTACGGTATGCGGTGCCCATGTCTTTATCAACCTCATTCAACAACTGGTTGTATGACACAGCCACGTATCAGGTGATCCATGACAGAAAACTCATCGAAGCCTTTAAGGTGAACACAAGAGTAAGATAAGGCTGCCTGTTGTCACGAATGATATTCTTAATCGTGGTGGACTAGATTATGTTTCAGACTGTGCACAGGAAGTGAGAAGACAGGAATACAATGGACTACAGATTGGGAGACTCTAGAAGATCTGGATTTCACGCCTGGTTGATTTATGTTTGATGTCACACAAACTAGAAAATGTGCAGGCGGAAACCGACAAGCTGGCTGAAGAGGCTGGCAGTGAAGACAAGACTCTAGGTGAATACAGAGAAGACGGAGGTGATGAAGATAACCAAACAACCACAACAACCCCAAAAACCAGCACCAACCATCATCGAAGGGAGAGATTCGACAGAGGTCGCTACTTTCATTTATCTGGCTAGGGAGCACGATTTCAACCACAGGTGGATGGCACAGAATCGGAAAGGCAAGATGCTCCTTCATCAAAATGAAACCAGTTCGCAAATCTTCTGTTTCACTGATCGCTGATTGCTCAGCAAATATGTAGGAGAAAACTGAGATGGATTGGTCACACGTTGAGGAAGCCGTCAAATGACATAGCGCGGTAGCCAGGCTATAGCTTGAATGGGACCCCAACGGGGAGGAACGAGCGCATCATCCGTGCTAGTGTGACATGAAGGGTATCAGGTGTTGGGGAGGAGGAGATGAAAGATTATGGTCACTTGTGGACCCAGATGAATAGGATGTGCTGTTAAAGCTCTTGTTCTACTCGGAACCCAATGGAATAATAACACGTCTTAACATGTGTCCCTTGTGCGGTTTTGATGTCAATTATCCATTAGGCAGTACTGCACTCAATCTTTCTGTTAACAATTTAGAGAATTAGTTCAAACTTCTTCATCAGCTAAGCAAACTATGACATTATGCTCTTTCTTATTTCCTTAAAACTTCTTTCTTTGAAAGTTTTCTATTACCGCTGCTTTGTCAATGATTAGTAACTGTTGTTGCTGCAGTGTCACGTTATGTATGTTTTTGATATCCACCTCATAATTATTTGTTTAGAAATCTTGCATTATGCTTGTATCATTTAAAGTGAAACAACGGGTTGAAAGAGTTTTACTTGGGCTACAACCTGAGGAAGCCGTATGGTAATGTTTACTGAAATGTGAATTTCTGAGTATTTCTCTTTATCAGGCAGAGAGAAGTCACCCTGATTCAGTCATACGGATTGTTGGAACTAATAACTATAACTTAAATGCAGTAAAACTAAATCTTCGAACACCCTTATTTCAATATAGAAAAATCGATTTCCTTTACACAGGAATATTGCTTTCACAGCCCAGTATTCAATAACGGCTTCGCATTCGAAGCGATTGGTACTGCACTACCTACCTCAAGACAAGTAAATCCATGCATCAAGTCCAAAGTAGGAAAACACGTTCGTCCTGAGGTCAGCTTACAATAACAGACAATCAAATAACAGAATAGGAAATCCAACTTTTTCAAAGATATTTCGTTTCGAAATGTTGACAGGAATCTTTGAATTACTTTGCGTAATACAACCTCAGAGTTAGGGTGGCAAGATTAAACTAAAAATGGATTTTTCCTTGGTAAAGATTAACCCAGATAGGTAGATTGGGATTTTTTTAAAAGTACTAGAGATTTCCAAGGTTTTAAAGAAAGACTTTGTGTTTAGAAAATGGTTTTGTGACTCTTTTTCAAGATTAGTGAATATTCCAACACATTAAAGCATTTCAACAATTCATTCAGTCAACATGGGTTAGAAATCAGATATTCGAATTTTATGAATTAGTTTCGGGTTAATCTGTTTATGTTGAAATCTAAGGTAAAATTCTTCGCGAAGAAAAATGTTCATCGTGTGAAATCAATTTTGATAAATAAACTAGAGTAAAATAAAAAAACAAAAATTATTATCTAATATATGACGGTCGTGGATTATTCTCCAGGACAGATCACTTTACAATACACACTTCATAAGATAAGACTTACGTGAAACGCTTTGGATTAAAGCTAAATATTTGTCCAATTCCAGAATAGCTTGCACTTGAAGGATTTGTAGGTGGAGTTGATCGAGATTTCGAATCATTGACAAATCTTCCAGTAATACTTGAAATGTTAGAATTATTACTGTTATTAACTGATGTGAAATGGTCATCAGCTGCACTGTTTATTTTCGAAGGAGAACCTCTTTCAGATAAATTTGAAATATTTGTATTTGTACCAGAAACTCCTCCTCCTAAGGAAGCTTGCTTAACTTGGGCCAGTCCATGTACAAAGAAATTAAAACTGGAAGATTTCGATTGTAGGGTTTTACGAACTAGTCTGTGAAAATAAAGATATATTACTTATTTGAAAGATTTACTAAAAACTAATGAAATGCAAAAAATTTCTTAAACACATGCCTTAAATTGTGTCAGTGAAAAGAAGATTGTCCCTTCAACTTCTGTTCTTGTAATAATTCCACAGTTTACGCTACGTCATTCTATCAATAAACTGTTTCAAATTCAAAGAAAAATATCAGAGGAGATAAAGTGAATCTTTAACAATCATGGCATATGAAATCGTTTTCATGCAAATAACACCTTACGTTCATCACTGGTGAAGGTCAAGGATAAAATAGAAGACAACAAACAGAACTGTGTGTACAAGGTCGATTGTGGGGATTATGACACCATATTTGTAGGAGAAACTTACAGGCAGGTAAATGTAAGAGTGAAAAAGCATGAACAATGTCTAAAGGTGGTTCCTAAGATCTCTGCAGATTAAAAGAAACTAGAGAACAGATCAGCGATTGCACTACACTATACAGAAACGGGACACAAGATCGACTTCAGTGGGACTAAAGTTCTACAGAAAGCTTTTGGTATGAATAAAGAAAGACTGAATGCAGAAGCCCTACATATATGGACGAATCCCAAATGTTTGAACAGACGTGAAGATGCAATGTTAGTTGATTCATGGCAAGTTCTGATTCATAAACAAGAATGGATATGTATCACTAATCAGTCATAATTTCGAGGCGGTATTTTATTTTTGGGGTCCCACTTCTTCTTTGGAAGCGCGGGACCCGGACCATATGCATGGTTGGCGAGCGTCCTAACCGCTATACCACCGACGCACTAATCAGTCATACTTGATCTAAATTCCCATTTGTTTATAACTTCATATGCAGCGGGTAACAAACGATTAACCATTGTTTCCCCATACACACATGCACACACACACTACTGTATACCGCATATACACAAATATTTTTTTCATATTCACTTATCTGCCACTGCGGACTTAAGTCGACCGTAATCACTAAACATCTGATGAAAAAGTACACCTTACGCTCATCATTGGTGAAGGTCAAGAGTAAAGTGGAAGAAGACAACCAAACTCGAAAAACAAATCAGCCCTGAAAATTAATCTGATGCTGGCTAGTGATTTGCTATAGGATGGAGTTTTCTGCAGTTCTAGTGAGAAGTCGTGACCAGTGAGGTTCATCCAGTCGAGTGCTAGGATGTATGTTCCACCGATGACAATGGTTGGTGGTCGCGCTAAATCACGAATTCATGGACTGGCTACTCAATCGGGTACCAGTGGTTGAATGGTGAACGGGCTTGCCTTGTAACCTTTAGGTCCTGGGTTTTAACTCTTGTGATGAGTGCGTACTACCAAATAGTACGAAACAGCTGTCCAGTACTCCTTGGTTTTCAACGGTTCTCTAACTGATATAATTCCGTGGTTCAACTAGAAAAGGTGCACACCGTTTACAGTGTTAAACAAAAGTAGACTAATATACATACATAATATATATATATATATATATATATATATATATATAAACCTCTGTTATTTTAATTTCGATTAATTTCCCAGAAAAAGTTCAGACCAGTTTGCCGAACCCAGGAAACGCTGGAGTTACTTATTTCAACTTCGCTGAGATTTTTACAAATATAATTGTTACATATGTCTACTTCTCACTCGGTGCCCAAGTATTAATGATCTATTCAGTCAAATCTTGATCACAGTTCACATGAAGAAGTGTTTTCATCTAAATTATTTGTGTACCTGATTAAATACTGTAAACATGTCATTTGTAACGGATATTTTGATATATATCAAAATTTACTAAATACTAAATAATGTGATCCTGAATACCTGGATAAATGTATAAACAATTGACATGACTGTCTTTTAGTTCAACAGTTATGTATCCATATTAGTTAAGAAATAATTGTTATCATTAGCATTATTGTTCTTCAATAACATCGAATGATTAAGATGGAAACATAAAAGAGGTACATGTGAGTGAATTGTTGCCAGGTTACAGTTCAAAATATATGCATGTGATAATATAAATAAGCGTGGCAATAGATTGAACGTTCGATATTAGAGTAAATTATTATGAATGATAATGAATGGATATACTAGTGAATACTCGTGATTAGTGGATGAAAGGAACTCTATTCTGTTTGATTACATATTCTGTACTGCAATGTGGTAACACTTAACTCACATAAATCTCCCGGATGTTTTGATCTTAATGATTCCATGTTATAAAAAAACAACAAATATTATTTCAAGTTTCATCACGAGATGATATCACTTAGAGCACCATTGAAAACAATGGAGTGCTAGATAGCTGTTTCGTTCTAGTTTAGGATTCATCGGCAGTACACATCCACCAGGTTTCGAAACGAAGACATTCCAGGTTCAAGATAAGCTCGCAGACCATTCAACCGTTGGTATGCTATCCAGCTTTTAACAATTCAGGATTTCAGCATGACCACCAGGCAATCTCACTGCCGAGTATTCGTCCTCACTCCTGACCAAGTGGCCCCGAATAGTCATGACTTCTCACGAGAACTCCAAGAAACTTCTTCCAGCAACCAGTCACTAGCAAGCACCAAATTAATTTTCAAAAGTAAGTTTGTAGCAGTTCGGAACAAATCAAATCCATACAAACACACTCTTGAAAATTAATGTGATTGATAACAATTATTCCTAATCTAATATGGATATATAACTATAGGAACTGAAGAGAAAGTTATCGAAAACTATTTTATCTTTCTCACTCATCTGTGATCGATTTACAATGGGCAGGTATAAAAATACTATCAGAATGAAAGGTCAAGGTCACAGCAAAACGAACAATGCTCTTCTACTACACACATATGCAGTATGAAGTCTATACTAAACGAAGTTTGCTATCATTCTATCCAAAGGTGGCTTAGATCTAAGGGGTATATCTGATTTAGTAAAGTATATAAGGTGAAAAGAATACGATGAATTTACCCCTGGTAATGTGTACTATAATGTGTACTATTCACTTTGACAAATTGTGACAACCAGAAGGGGTTAGGCTCGTGTTTACCACTAATTTATTATTCTAATTCAAAAATGACTTTTTATTTAACAGAGTCAGGTAGGCAGACTGTAGCTTACTTCGTTGTATTTTTAGGATAATAAAAGCCATTAACTCCATATCACACTCGAAATGGTTTAAAAGTATTGAAATTTGAGTTGTTGTATTGACACTATATCGTTTCATAAATTGTGAACTGAATGTCAGACATGTATATAGCCGTGATCTGTCTTTTTCTCTGATACTTTCCATATAAACATAAAACAGATCTGTATTAATTCATATACAACAATTCATATTGTTTCTTCAGTGTGATTTAGTTTTTAAAATTACAGCACTTTATATACAGTGGCAAATAGCTTTTTGAAACAAGACGGATCACCCTCTCGCCTGACAAACGATACTTCAAACTGCTATTACTGAAATGAAGTTACTGATCCGGTGAAATGTTGTAATGTCTTACTTTTTGCGCATGGTGATAAAACTTACCACCTTAATGCACATTGTGGTAGCATCTGTAGGCAAAATCCTATTTAAAATACCCATCACCGTTTGTTTCCATGATGAGAGTTACCAGTGGTTTAATTAAATGCAGTAAGGCACAATTTTAAAAGGAAATTATTCGGCATCTTACTCAGTAAAATATTGGCTCGCTTCTTGATCGTTTAATTCTGGCCTCAGAGCCCTCAAGACAAATCGAACACAATCACGGTTCAGTCCAGGAATATTCATTGATAAACTCTATATGAATAAAGTGAAAAGGTCATATTTCAGTGTCTGGAATATTTGCTTGAATAATAGATTAATAAATAGAACAATATGATAGAGAAAAGTGAATGTGTTTAAAATCACCGACGGTTAACAACCAGGCGCTACACAATTTCAGTAATTGGGGTTGTTATAACTCGGTGATGAGGTTTATGACCTATGTTCAAACTCCTAGGAAAAAACTATTTTTCTCAAAATCATCGGGTACTTATTCTTGATGAGTATAAAGTATTACGAATTCTAGTGTTGGTTTGTAGGGATTTGATTGATTACAGGTTTTATCAAGAACTGACACTGGTTAGAGGTCCACTGGGAAACCAGCAAATAGTGGACAGCTTTTTCGTTTTAGTTCGGAGCTCTCCATCAGTACTCAACTGTCGGAGTCTGAACTCAGAGTCGCTGGATCTCGTCTCGGTGGCGGAATGGTCAATGAGTTCACCTTGTAACCGGAGGTCCTGGGTTCGGACACTGGTTGGAGAGTACTGCCAATGAGACCGAAACTATGATGAAACATCTGTCCAGCACTGCTGGGTTTTCCCAGTGGTTCTTTAACTGATGTCAACATGTGATCGAACCGGTAACCAATAAATTATTACTTAAATACATACAGAGCACTTCATCATAACACGTTGCTAGTTATCACTCCAGATTAATAAACATAGCTTCATTGGTCAGTATCACAATGGTTAAAAAGTTATTTCGCAGTTAGCACTTTCAAATTTTACAGAACGTCACTTACAGCATTCCAAGTAATGGGAGTCCTTGTTGTTCTATGTAAACCTTCATTTGTTTAACATTACAAATATGGAATTTTCAAGAACTCAATAGAAAAACCAATACTTTTGTAAGAAGCGATCATTTACTTTTAATTAAATATATTTGCTTTGAGCGAAGTTCATAAGTAAGTCAAAATTCAAGAAAAATCTCAAACTTTCATGCACAAATGTACTACACTTCATGATTTGACTTCTTAAGATTCCAAGCTTTACTGCAACTGTAATAGTTATGCTATCTGACAAAATACGTAGTTAGCTATTACTCATTTACCCAGTATTGGGCCATGAGCCACAATTTTTGTGTGAGTATTAATGATACTAACGAGGTGCCCAGGTTGAAGTGGTCGAAGCTGAACTCGAGTACGGAGCCCATTGTATGAAACCTGAGTGCTTAAGCCAATGGATGATCATTATTTCTTTGGATCTCGAGTGGAACAAATGGCTTCAACAAGACATCTCTACTTTATTTTATTTTATTCTGTCCTCTTCATCTGAGTCCCGGGTTGGCCATAATCTTTCATATCCTCCCGAACACCCGATACCCTCAATGTCATCCTAGCACGGATGACCTACTGGTTTCTCCCCACTGAGGTTCCACTCGAGCGATGACCTGGCGATAGCGCGATGTAATTCGACGGCCTCCTTAATGTATGCACAATCTATCTTAATTTTCTCCTTCATATCTGTTGAGCGATCGGTTTGGTTTGTTCGTAGCCATAGTTTCTTGTTGCTAATTCTTTCTAGCCGGCCATTTGATCTCTTCAATATCGAGCCGTTGAAGGAGGCAGGTGTTGATAAACGTCTGCAACCTGTTGGAAATGCTTTTCATGACGGGGGCGCAGTGAAAATGTCTGACCCGTATAGAAGGACAGACTTGACATTCGTGTTGAAAATCCGAATCTTGTTCTTTATGTTGAGTACAAAAGACTTCCAAATTGTTTTCAGGTTGATGAAGGCGTATCTTGCCTTTCCGATTCTGGCTGGCTGGCTGGCTGGCTGAATTTGACATCTTCATCCATTCCGCCAGTATTTGAAACGAGGCTTCCTAAATAAGTGAAGGAAATCACCTCTATTAAATCTCTCGCGTTGATGGTGATTGGTGCTGGTTGTTGTTGCTGGTCTTGTTCCTCTTGGTTGATAATCTTCATCACTTTCGTCTTCTCTATGTTCATCAATTGGAGACCTGTCTTCGCTGCCAGCCTCTTCAGCCAGTTTGTTGGTTTTAACCTGCAGTATTCTTATTTTGTGCAACTCTAAATATAAAAATTATCCACGAAATCAAAACTTTCCACATCTTCTCTAGAGCTAACGAACTACACCTCCAAAAAACACTATTTCATAGTAAACACTGTAAAAATAAAATGGAAGAATAACTTATGAAACCCACTGAGCACTTACCAATTCAAGTAGTGAAATAAGCTGATATGAACGATGCCTAATTAAGTTATATGCCTCACAACATTTTTCTATAAACAGTTGTACACCTTGTTGTGGATGATTAGAATTATGACCAGGTGTATAACCAAATCCTGATGAATTGTTTAAATGATGCATTGAACCTGTCATATCCTTAGAGTATGTATTTAATACATGTAACATATCTTGTGTCAAAACAAACGGCACACGATCTCTGTAGAATGAAAGAAACAAAAAGAAAATTAGTGAGAATATACAGTATGAGAGCAAAATATAAACTTAGTAGGTCTGAAGATTTTTAGCTTATAGATTAACAAGTAGTACAGGTTAGATAAATACTTATTTGTAAGTTGAACGAATTTTACCTTGATATTCTTAACAGGTTGTTAATTAAAACAGCAAACAAGTAAATGCCTATAGTTGGTTGGCAATAACGAAAAACGATTTTTTAACTTCTGGAGTTGAAAATATAGTCTGGATTGAACACTTTAGATGTAAAAGTCAGTCAGAATGGGGGAAGGCAAGACACGTGGTCAAAACTCTTAAAAGTATGTAAAGATCTACAGCTCTTAGAATAAGGAACAACATATGAATTTTTAAAATGAATGTAAACTTAGCGCTTCTGTATGCTTCACATAAAAAAGCATTTCTGACAGTATACAGACTTTCCACAACATATATCATTCGTTGAATACTGAAGGTAAGATAGCCAGTCATAAAGTATAAACAACAAGAAATTATGGCAGCTAGTGAACGAGCCATTGAATTATTGACCAACATATACCCAGAAGGAAATGGAAGTGGCCTGGAAATACCCTGAAGAAACCTTGTAACGAAATGATAAGACAATTCATCTAGTGGAACTCGAATTGGAGGCGACAGGTAATGTGTAGCTGCAAAGGTGACTTGGGGGTGATCATATGAAGAAGAAACGAAAGGTTATTGGGCAGTTTTTTTTCCTTCACGTTCCCAGTGGAACACAGGGCCTCAAGCTGGAGGCTTGAAGTTTCTTGTAGCAGTATTTAGTTTTACAGGATGAGGTTGCTAGTCTCATTCCCAACCTTTCCTCTTTACCAACATTATTCCCGATTAAGCGAGGTAAAGGAGTGCGTTGGCCGGGGATCGAACCCCGGACCATGTGCATGGTCAGCCAGCGTCCTAACCACTGTACCACCGACGCACTGGCAGTTTTGTAGCCAGTTAAAAGTGATGGAAGAGGACCAAACACAATGGAAATGTATCCCTGAAGCTGGGAATGTACTTTATTAATTTATTACTTTATAACAGAGCTATAGCAAAGCTAAAGAATAGCGACTACGGTGCGCTGATGAACCAATCACCTTGTAGTGACCATTGAGAAAGAGTTGTGTATTTACACCAAAAAGGTGTTTATTTACGAGAAAAATACATTAAAATAATAATGGAACACATTAAAGACGATATTTTACGCTGATGTGGCTGAAAAATACTTCCTATTTACATTGAAGGGCCTCAGTTTTCAAGTTCCATATCAGTCAAAACAGTTTCAGTATGAATCGTGACACACTTCTCTTTTTTACTTGCTTGCAGATAAAGGCAGATAACAGTAGTTGTAATAAGACACACTAACCGTGATCTACACCCTATTACTTAACCATAACCCTGACCCTGATACTAATCCTCACGTGCTATCAACCCATTATCCAAGCAGGACCTAAAAACGTGATCAAGATGACATTTGTACATCAAATCGCACAAATACTGGCTCAGTGATAACGGCAGGGTTTTTGATCCAAAGAACAATATGCGTTCTAAGTCATTGGTCAGTTCGCACTCCTTGGTCGTTATTCTTTAGATTAACCAGTGTCAACTGATGAATTATAGCCACGCAAGTGATAAATTCATGAATAAATAGGAAGATATCTGTCTACTGATTTCCATAGCCTATACAAAACAACATATATGTATATTCAACTAACCGTTTAATACCGGCAAATGTTTGACTATTTCCAAATACTTTAGAGAAATCAACATGGAATACATGGCCAGAATAACGTATCATAATATTGTCATTGTGTCGATCGCCAACACCAAGTATATACGTTGCTACACAACATCCAGCCAGTGAACGAAGAAAATTGTCTAAAGCCTTTAATGAGAATGCAAAAACACATACGCAATGAAAGAATCAATTGATAAACTGTCATAAGTATACTTGAGACTTGGTAGATTTGTTTTACTGTAAAGATTTGGAAAAGTTGTCGGCTGCTTTAAATGCTATCTTTAGTGATGATGATATTTATATTTCTTTTATATCACCACCATCTTTTATTTGGTTGTTTTCTATAAATTTTGATTGTATTGTTTCCAAGTTTTCATCTTTCCTCCATTTAATTTTCCTTACTTTCACGTACAGATATAAGATTTGACACGCTGAACTGCTAGACAGTACTTTTAGGCTTTAATGTTGATGGTATATCTATCTGTTTGTCAATATTTGTCTATCTGGCCCAATATTCATCACATCCTTGTAGACATGTCGACGTACAGCTCTTTAAAGTAGTTGCTCATGCACAATATAATGCATTCCTAATCCCACTTACTTAAAACGTATTCAGTTGGGTTGTATGAGCAGCTCTTTTATATCCAGCTGGAACTTTGCCGAGTTTACCGGCCAATCCTAAAGTCGGAGAATGAGGGACTAGCATCCTTAACTCAGAAAATCCCTACAATCGTTATAGAATGTTCAAAACACTAAAGAAGAGACAATTTAGTATGCTTATATGCTTTATTTTAAACATGCATATTTTTTCCAGGCGTATAAAGTAACTTAGTGATGTGGCAGTACGTTTTGCGTATAGGTGAATCAGTGATACGGAGATATGTTTGAAGAATAACCGCACAGTTGAACACCTTTCATACAACATAAATGGAAGACGAAAACCACATGCAAGAAGTGGTCGGTGAGTAATATAAAATAATATAGTTTTACTCTTTGTAATCTAGTTTGAGGATTTCATCATGAGTTGATATTAGTTGGGAAAATATCCAAAAACCTGAGAGTACCTAACAGCTGTTTCGTCCTAGTTTGTGACTCCTCATCAGTACGCACCCACCCAGGACCTTCTGGTTTCAAGGCGAGCTCGTAGACCATCAAGCCACTGGGACCCAATCCAATGACCAGCCCATGAATTCTAACTTCTGCCAGTTCATGACATAGGGCGATCACTTCGCAATATCTTCTTCGATGAGTTACTGTCTTACCTACAGTTCAAGTAATATAATTATCTTCAAATATTCTCTTCATTTGTCTTCTATAAATAATTTTTTGATTAAACTGCTTTTGAAAAAGAAACCCTTATACTAACTCGTTTATAATCCAATTCAGTGATATTTTGAGATTGTAACCATTTTGTGATAACACCTTCTTTAAAAGCTCCTGTTAAACCGCCTCCTTGTTGTTGAATTTGACGAAGTGTACTACATTCAGATACCTAAAACATAAACAAAAATAGGGTACTAAGACTTTTTTTAAGAATAAAATTCACATAATCTTATGTACAAATTTTTTTTAAAGTCTTATTGAGTGTTGTTTATTTGTTAGTAAAAATTAAAAAGGATACAAATGTATCATTAACTTTTATTGTTCACGTGTGTAACAGAAATAGATCACATGTGGTATATTCCTTTTCTTTTTATTGTTGGTTGATATGAAATACCACACTGGGAAATTAGTTCCCCATAATATTATTATATTAATATTATTCCCTTGGTTTCATTTCACTGTTTCCATCTGCTCCCTGAAATCTTTTTCAACTGATTTCACGATTGCCCACAACCTTTCATTTCACGTGACCGTCTCCATATCACCCTCAGAGTCAAGTCCAACTCGTCGCTTACCATTCTGGCCCTACCATGGAACATGGAGCGTGAATTCCATTGCAAGTCTCCTCAAGGTGTGCCCAATCCATCTCTATTTCGTATTATACATATGTTGGGCTAATGGTTCTCTGTTGATTTGTCAGTAGAGTTCCTGGAGCGAAGGTAGCTGTTGATGGAAGTCTACAGTAAGTTGTTTGAAATGCTTTTATTGATGTACCAAGTCTCCGAACCACACACATACTTCATATTCTCTAAATACATACTGATGGAACTCAATAAGTTAGGTTAAACGCCTTAGTGCAGAATATTAATGAAGGGAGACATTGGTAGGGAAAGCAAATGAAGAACAGATAGTAGTACAACAACACTGAGGACTTAATTTCTAAGAATGACCCATTCATAACAGAAAAAACTTAGCAAAATGCAAAACACATTATGAATGTTTTCATCAATCTATAACACAAAGAATACCTAGTAATTTGTTTAAATTAAACTGTATCCAGATAAAAAAAGAAATGCAGTAGGTCTTTGAAAGTGCACAGAAACTTTTCTACGACTAGATAGTATGCTTGCAAGGTACATTTATTTAGAAAGGAAATAGCCATAAAACTAATTATTATCGTGGAAGGTAAAAAGCACAGATATATCGACAAAAAATGCTGGAGATTCAAGATTCCTATCGGAAGGAAATGGGATGGATCGGACACAAGCTGAGAGACTGCTGGATGACATCGCGCGCCAGGCGAAACCTCAAGAAGAACCAGAATAGGGAACAATGAGCTGGGTGTCCGAGGTAACATGGAGGCGGTAGCGTGGGGAGAAGATGACAGCCTATGAGCAAACGAGACGAAATGGATATGTGCTGTTGAAGCTTTATATTCTACTCAAAACCCGAGGGAATAAATAAAATAGGAAAATTTAGAAAAACACATGCAAACAAACAGTACTGTTTTCACCGTGATTTGTTTATATTTAGTATTTATTTGTAAAGGTGTTTACGCTGGAGCAAATCCTGGTGAGATCTAATTGGAAATAATATTCTCCGCTAAAATGTGATAATCTGAATAGGCAGTAATAGTAGACATTTGCGTCAAACACCGATCATTTGTATTAATATTTCCATTACACACGTATTCTATTGAAGAAAATGTTGCTAGTTTTTTTTATAAATCTGAACACTTGACGAAGTATTCTCTGAATTCACTGAATGTTATCAAAAGGGCAATTACATTTCAGACAAGCTAGACATTCACTACCCGTTAGAATTTAGTTTAAGACATATTGCGGTAAAAAAGTATATTTGATAACCGCATTGAAAATATATATATTACATATTAGCATTTAGACGGTGGATTCTTTGGTGGTCTAAAATAAAAAGCAATTCATACTGTTAACCTTTAAATGAAACTATATATATATATATATATATATATATGTCTATGAATGCATCTGTTTCCTTTTGTTTCTACCGGCGAACAAAACCCATATACATTTCTATCAGAATACATCAGTATAAATGAATACTGTGGCTATTACTGGTACAAAATGATAAAATCGTCTTATTTGGATTTCCTCAGCTGGATGAATTCGCCTCTTAAAACGTAATGTTGTTGTGTGTGGACGGTTCAGTGGTAGGATGCTCGCCAACCACGCATATGGTCGCGTACTTCTATATTTCCCCTTAGTCAGTTCTCATCTCCATAAGGAGGGGGAAGGCTGGTTGTGAGATTATCAAACGGATCCCTTGAAATATTCCCATTGCTACTGGAACTTAAAAGCTCAAGCCTCAAGCCCTATGTTCTATCGGGCATGCAAAGGAATGAATATTTAAAAAAGTACTGCTGTTGAAATGACTTCAGCTTGCAATCCATTAAAATGCAAACACTAAACCACTGATACACCTCCGACATGTCTTCTAGTGAATAACATCAACAACAAAAACTATTGACTGTGTTATTGACTTACCAGTTCAATAAAGCCTTTCTGCTCTTCTGTTGGTATAATACGAAAGTGAATCATACGTAAATCTAATCCAGCGTCTAACCATATTCTATCCATAAGAAATGTCAGTTGACATATTAAACTGTCAAGGCGTAAATCATCACCAACCTGATCATAACAAACAATATCAAATGAATAATAAACATTATAGTATTCCCTTTCCACGGGTTGAATGGGAAATAAAAGCCTTCTAATAAAAAGCATAGATTTAAACTGACTAATACTAACTATAGCTATTTCAACCAGTTTGTTTTCACAATTCCTTGACACAAATTTTAAACTTTAGACCATATATATATATATATATATATATATATATATATATATATATATATGAAATAATTCCCCAATGTTCAAATCACACTCACAAGTTAGGTCAAAGCCCTACAAGTCAATGTAAATAACCTAAAACTGCCTACATCAAACTGTTGTATATTATGAAAATCCATAAATCGCCTATGAGGTGTTGTTAATCATCACCAGTTGATTTAGAAGAAGCACCTAGACGATAATGTAAAAAACTACTCATCTGCAAAAACTTTCAACACATTTTAAGGGGAAGAAACACCTAGACAGGATGCACCTGCTAAACAGGGTTCAAGAATACTGTCCCGCTTGATTGCATAAAGGCGACAATAGCTTTAGTGGAGTACAACAGTCAAACACTTCGTTACAGCTAGTCATTTTGTCTCAACAGACTCCTACTTCAAAGCGATCTACAAAGTGAAGAACGACTTGCCAAAGACAATACACTTTCGACTCGTCTGCATTGCTCAAGCCCTAGTCATTCACATAGAGAAACCGGAGCTCTGCATATAAAATACAATTATTTAACCATTTCTACTGTTTGCTTTTTATTTCTTACGTATTATCACATTTTCTTTCTTTCAATGTGCACGCTGATTACAACTCAGGTACTAAATTATTAATCTCATTTGGTTACTCAAATGTCCCAATTCGACTACTCTCATATATTGAATAATATTGGCAACTACTTCTATGACAGCTAATTACTTTCGTTACAATCCTATTTCATGAAAAAATTGTACATGAATGCGACTGTATAACTAAAGAAAAGCAAATTCGCCAAAAAAGAACCACTTCCATGTACTACTTGTTTTCAGTAATGTCTGGGTGCAGATAATTCCTGAAATAAGTTTTGTATCGATTTTATAAGATATCCGGAGATATAGTTTTTGAAAAGCCCTGCTTTTCACTGCTTTTCCCTTTCATTATGTGTACTCATCAAAAGTTTTTCTATCTGCGATATCATACAAAACATCATATTTAAAAACACCAGCATGTTTTAAGTTGATGCATTACTTGGCACATTTCACATTTTCGGACTGCATGTGGTGCAACAAATTTCCATGAAGTCATCCGGTAAACAGTTATCAGCACAGAAAAAGTAATCTTTATATATTAAAATAGGGTTCATGTTTGTAATGTTTGAAGGCATAAAGCAACAGCTAACAACACTTGAAAATATATTTTGCACAAACAAAACTGTCTACTTATAAGTAGTCCAAGAGGATGACAAAATAATTTTACTAAGTATCTCATCAACCCCTTTGACGACAGCACACCAGATAGTATATACCGAAATGACATCCTTTGGAGAATCGCTAAACAGTGAAACGCAACAGACAGTTGCTTCGTCATCGTTTCGGTACGTTCAGTAGTGCGTACCTATGACACCAGTACGGATCGAACCTGTGATGCAACAGATGCTGGTCGACGACACAGGTTGACGTTATACTCACACTAGAAGAAGTTAGAATTCCCAGATCACTGATTTCTAAACCAGTGGTGGAATAGTTCCATAAACTTAAAGTCTATGGCGTTATCTTTGATGCATGCCGTTAAAGAGTCCCAAGCTGGAAAAAACAGCTGTCCAGTATTTCTTGATCTCCAACGTGTCTCTGTGTGATGACCGTACGTGACTCAATCTAAGTTGAAATCCATCGAAATCAAAACAGAAACTTTAATAATGCATTCAGTAAAATTTTTTTACCAAGTAAATTGGCTATTCACATCTAAAGAATCATATAATAACTGGAGAGTAATGAATGAATGAAGTCAACAACATTTTTTTCAACAAGATTTAATAAATTACCTTAAACATAACCATAAATGGTTCGATACCAGCATCCAACGCGTGAAAGACAAGTCTTAGTGGACAAGTGAATGAGGTAAAATATGAACATGCCTGTAAAATCACAAAGTACACACATAAACATTTAGCAAATAACTGTTCTAATCTTTCATTTCTTTGTTGTTGTGAAAAAATGTATCTTTTAAGGGAATTGAGAAAACTTACAAAAATCAGCCGTCAAAAGTACAAGGTTTAAAGTATTTCTTTCCTATATCCCATTAAACTTGTTGTTGCGAAGTACTCACTTTGACAGAAATAAACTGGATAAACTGACAGTCAATTCGGGTGCTATATGTCGGCATTCAGTCTCTCGCACTAGATGAGCTTGTCTGACTTGAAATTCATATTTGTTGATAATATTTAACTAGACCTCTTTTTCGACTTATGTTTCTTATACCCATACCGATGCTGAAAAATTCTCTGCCAGTTATATTCTGAGGACATAAACTCATATAGACCCGACGGTTAACTGACTTATTCTCAAGTGAATGTTTTGAATTTTTCAATTCTTTAGCGGATGATTGAGCAGCCGAACAATTTTAAAAAGTGAGAGTTTTAGCCGCTATTCCTAAAGTTTTCTTATCTTGCTTATGTGATTTAATAAATACACAATTTAAAATGTTTGAAATCTGTCGTTGTCAGCTTACAACATTGTCTTATAAAGGGAACCAGATGATAATATTTGACTGACTTCTTAAGCTTAAATACATTACTTTCTTATTAAATGATCTGTAGACTAAGGGAAACGTTTTCAGATAAGTGAACTAAGGCTTCAATTAAGCGGTCATAAATTTCACATGAATCTACTGGTATATCAGTTAGGATATGCGATGATATCGCAGTATGCTTAAAAAATTACCTATGATCCGGATATTCTTACGAATATGCGTATACACCTTAAGGTCACAGGTCGAATTCAGTGTTAACACTTTAGGATATATGAGACAAGATATTAGAGAATAACTTCAGTAAGACTTCTTTATTAATATTCACGAACGCAAGGATAGGAATTTCAGGTAATTTACAAATCCAAGAAAAACGTCAAGGTTGGGACATGTTTCAGATTGAGTACTTTTCTTTTGAATGATATACTTTAGATCACCACTTCAAGACCCTAACTAAAACGAAGGTCGACATTTAATAATAAAACACGCTGGAAATTCTGTAATGTATATAAAGGTATTTTGCTATTATACAAACAAGTTCAGTGTGCACAGATTTTCCATCTACAGAAACAGAGGTAAATCATCTGGAAACAAAGTTGGTCTTATAAATACAGTCACCACCATAAAGTTGTATACTAAACTGGTTAATGGAAGAAGAGAGTGACATTTCGCTTTGCCTTATCGACAAACCTACTACTACTACTACTTATTACTATTATTCCCTTGGGTTCCGAGTGGGACATACGGTTTCAGCAACACATCGCCACTTTTTTCTATTTTCTACAGTCCTGTTCAGCTGTGCCTGGTGCGCGATATCATTTGATGGTTTCCTTAGTGTATGTCCAATCCATCTCCATTTACTCCTACATATTTGTTGAACAATCGGCTCTTGCTTGGTTTGTTCCTAACCGGAGTTTCTTGTTTCCAATTCCTTCTGGTCAACTGGCCGGCCATTTGGTCTTCATTATGGAATCGTCGAAGCAGGCAGCTGTTGATAAGAGTTTGCTGTGACTTGTTGGGAATGCTTTTCGTGACGGGCGTGTAGTCCAAGTGTCTGACTCGTATAGAAGCAGTGACTGACTTCATATCTGTGTTGAAAATCCAAGTTTTGTTCTCTATGCGGGCTGTGAAGTGCAGATTTCCAAATTGGTTTCAGGTTGATGAAGGTGTATCTTGCCTTTCCGATTCTGGCTGGTTTTTAAATCGTCATCTCAGTCATCCGCTTGTGGTTGAAACCATGCTTCATAGATAAGTGAAGGAAGAAACCTCTCCCGTCGATGGCGACTGATGATGGTTGTCGTTAGTTGGTGGGTATCTTCACCACCTCCGTCTTCTTTATATTCATCTGGAGTCCTGTCTTCGCTACAGCTTCTTCTCAGCTAGCTTCTTGGTTTTCGCCTGCAAGTCTTCGAGTTTCTGTGACATTAAACATAAATCATCCAGGCGCGAAATCCAGATCTTCTAGAATCTACTTATCGGTAGTGCAGCGTATTCCTGACTCCTCGTCCCCTGTGCATAGTCTGATGCAATTAAGAATTTCTACCTTACAAAGATAATTGAATTTGACTGTAAATGTAACTAAGCCTATGACATAAATCGTACAACTACAGAGTTATATGAGAAAAAGAATAGAGTTTTAAATTACTATTATTACGTGATTTGATATAATACAAAATTCATAATAGGTTTACTTCATTTATAAACTATATATTATAAACCTATAAATGAATACACAATGGATGTACAATTTGATAGTTATGCTTAGGTTTTTTTTCATTCATTTGTGTGTGCTCTGAGTGGAACTCAAGACTTTACGTTTGAGCCATTAAGTGCCAGTAGTATTGTTTTCACCGGTTGGATTTTCAGTCCTACAACCAACCTTCTGTCTTAATCGAGCTTAATATAGACTGAGTGACATTTAGGTACTCTCGGGTTGGGAATTAAACCAGGATCACGTGGGTGGTTGACCAACATTCTATGATTGACGCTATGCTTAGGTAGGAAATTAAAAAAACTAAACCTGTTTTCCACTGACAATATTATCGTATGAAATATATCACATCGTATGAGTTGGTCACACAAATACATGACGATTCTGAGACAACAGATTGAAGGTCAAGTTTATTAATGTTCTAAAAACCTGTCACATTAAACGGGTGGTATTTTAAAAGCAATTCATCAGCACTATCATAGAGATATATTCTCTAAGTTCACAGCTTAACAGCACCAAAATGAGAGTTAACCTTCTTTAGAAATCAGGAAAAACAACCAGTCATTGTAACCACTTACAGCTATGGAGATGTGACAATGTAAACTAAGTGGATTAATGATCTTATTGCTGGTTTCTCTAGTTTGTCCAGAGACGTAGGTAGTTAATGAGTGTAACTGTGTTTCATTGTTATGCTACTGCAGAAAGGCTAAAAGTTAATATCATTCTGTTTAATTAATATGTAGTCTTTAAATTTACAGAAAACTTATAAAAGTCAATCAATCATATATACAAACGATCACAATAATATTATTATTGTCTTTTAAATCACCACAAGTTCTCATTTTATTCTTATAAACATCTCTTCACAAGATTCTTCACCACTTTATGTATTGAAATAAATACATCTTCAGAGGTAAGGCAGGTATAAACAGTTTCCAGTACATCTTGACTAAGTGACATAGTCAGTCAAGACGAGACTCCGTGCTGGTTGTTTCTTCTTCTGCATACTTTACGAAAATGAAGACATTCAAGTATGATTTGACCATGGCAACTACAATATCAAGTTTTGGTTTTCATCATTTCTTTTGAAAATAAATCTTTTGATAACTTCATCAGTATCATTTTATTGCGTAATGCCTTTTACTAGAAAGCTCTGAAATTCTAGGCTATCAATCCAATCCCTAATTTTTAGCAATAACCAGGTGTTGATGCTGTCTAATCACCTCAGTTTTTTTGAATACAGAATAAGAAGAATAAGCAAACGATTTCATTGTCAACTTACTGCTATATCAAGTCTGTGTGTTAAAAGTCCAGGATTATATGGCATCCTTAGACCAAAATCATACTGTGACACTGGTAATTCAGTATTTGGCTCATCTGATGGCTTTTTTCTCAAACAGTCTGTATCAGTTTTAAATATTTGACTAGTTGATTTATCATGATTTATCCATGTTTGTGAATTTGATAGAGAAGGTGACTTTCGGTCGACAGACAGTTGATCTGATGATTGCTGACATTGTTCTGACAGCCCGGACATGAATTGTTTCAAATGACTGTAGAGGATCTCTTCACGAACTGAAGCATTTGGTCTAGCCTGCTTAACTTTCGTAGCTGATTGTGCATTAGAAAGAAGTTTTTAAAAAAAGAAATCGAGCATGGAATTCACTTTGAATAATGAATATGTTTGTAAAATAATACTGATTATATACAAAGGTCGTTGGTTAAGAAGTATAACTACATTTACTAATAAAACATACTGCGTAATGCGTGATAATACATACCAACAACTCAAACATATCATTCTCAATAGATGTTGAATTTTAAATCATTTACACTGACCACTACCTACACACATTACACTATGCATTTTGAAAACGATTAATAAAAAGAAAAGAAGTAGAGTTCAAAACAGAATATGGCACAATTATATTGTTCATTCTAAGATATCTGAAAAGAAAACTGAACGATTTATGAGAAATCGACTGAGTAAAACATAAATCACATCAGGAACAGCAATCAAATCAGAAATTCAAAGAACGTGTCATTTATGAATTCATACGAGTAGTCCACACAGAAAAACAAGTCCAGCCACTATTACTAACTCAGTTTACTGTGGAATCTACATACTCTTTAAGTTAATTTCTACTTACCACTGGCTGGTTATTTAGGGCCTAAAATGGTTGGCCTCTGTTTACATGACATCTCCTAGTAAGGATGATCCAATGGTTTCTGAAGATAAACATGATGATACTTGGTACTTGATCTTAACAGAAACCCAGTATTGCAGGTTTTGGGGTTTTCTTTCAGAGACTTTCCAGAATTATACGAAGAACATTTTGCGCAGCAAACCTATATTTGTCATTCTCAAGCAAATAAATGCTTGCAAATGAAACGAAGGATAAGCTAGATAGTTTGCCACATCTATGTATATATATCAATTCAACTGCACCTGCGGTGACAGTTGTGTTGGGCTTTCTACTAGACAGTCTAGTCAACGTGAACACCTCTCATCATGGTTTGGCGAAAGAACAGGCAAAAAAAATCCGTAGCTCCGTTTTGTCACATTTAGTTGACAGCGGTCATGTTCTGGAAAAAAACGAAAAGCACTCAAGGTGATCCTTAGCATTCCACTGGATCTTTCCGATAGACTCTGTATTCGTCTACTGCATATAACTGGGGCGATAGACATTCGAACTATTAAGAGTAAACGAGGCATTCAAAAGAAGTTCGTACAGCCATTATCTTTCACTTGGCCAATTAAGGCCTAACTAAGTGATAATGTCATCACCATCCGTCACTTTTACTATCAGTCCTTCTGTTATCATCCCTTAACCTTATAAAATCTTCATTAAAACATAGTTTGTTTTCTTTTCTTACAATCTAGCATTACTTGATTGGACTATTTGTTTTTCTTAGCCTTTATTGACTACTTCTACCTGAAAATTTGTTTGTTTAGGCATGATGTTTTCCATATTTTTGTTACCACAGATCACTCCACCTTTTTAGCTTTGTTGCTGATAGAATCATTATTACTATTGTGAATAGTCGAACAATCTATATACAAAATCTTATAATTCTGTAGATAAATCACAGTGATTGGTTTATATTTGAATATTTATTTGTAAATTTATGCATATTACAGTTAAGCCTGATGAAATCCAATTGACAACAATGTTGTTCGCTTAGGTATATTGTTCTAAATAATTAATAGCTGATACTCATTGTACAATAGGTAAGTTTCGAGGCCTAGTAGCTTACTGGATACTACTTAAGTTTCTAAAAAAGTGCGCTTTAGGTTCCAGTTTTGGTTCTATTTATAAGAGATGCAGGCACCTGACAAGTCCCAAAATAGGGTGAAATGAGCATTGTGGATCTTATCACTAGCTACGTTATATCTCTTAAGTAGGACCTTTCATCCTGTATGCATATTTTACTCCACCCGCCATCACTATTCTTTCCATTTGCATAGATAAACGTTTTAATTTCTTAATTTAACTTTGCTTGTTGACATATACACTGATGCACAGCCAAACATACGCATAACCACCTGCTATATTTTCACTCCCCCTGCTTCAATGTTTTCAATCATTCATATGAAGTTGATTATCATATTGCATAAAATTCATACTCTGAACATTAGTCATGCACATTCAGTTCTCCAGAATCATTGTTATTCATAATCATTTACTTGATCTGATGAATACTTAAGTATTATATTTATGCACAATTTGTAACAATGTATCAGTTATGTAACAATTTGTTTACATATAGATCTATTTATGATTTTAGATTAAGCGATAAGATGTATTTTGTCGGAATTGTGTAATGTATTTGCGCAACACGTTCTGAACAATCTGATCACACACGGACTTGTCATGGGAATATATTTATGAATTACTATCATGTATAATACATACATTATGTTCAAGCATTAGAAAAGTCTGTCTGGAAGACACGGTAGAGAATGACTTAAATTCATTACGTGAATTCATTACGGTGACACATCAAGATTCATAGGCAAAAACATGAAGGAAAAGCCTCAGTCATCAAAAATCACAACTGTTCCTAAGAAAACTCTCTTCACGAGCCTGGAATTCAAAAGTGACGTCAAAGCAGAGACTCTTAGAAACCGCCTTTTTAAATGTCTGAAGAAGTCATTTCAAACAGCCACCTTACGCGTTACGTTCTTCAGCAGACAGTTAATCCAGTCTAACTTTAAGGACAAGACTCCGCTTTTGGCCACCTCATTATGTATTTATCAGTTTACTTGTTCATGTGGAACAAAGTATGTCGGTCGTACCTAACGTCAAGTCCACAAACGTATTCTGGTACATTGTCTAGCTTGGCTAGCTGGTCAGAGGAGAAAAGAAGAATAGTAGCAGCCCTATCCTCGAACACCTTGCTAACTCTGAACATAGAGCATCCCCATTTGCATGGATGCTTCACAGTGCTACACAAAGTTCTCCAATATCGCAAAAAGAACCTTCGAAAAGGCCATCTGCAAACTGCTACATTATTGGCTATTAGGGATTTGAAACCCAATTTCTGCATTTAAAAGCACCACATTCACTCACTTGCCCTACCGTGACAAGAGTAACGTTCTTACTATAATTTTCCCTCCTTTTATTGTGTAGGTTTACTCTTATTATTCATCGTCCATATTTTATTATTACTCTACTACTGTTTATTAACGACATAGCGTTTTCATTCAGATTTTATAAAAACAATTTATCGTCTTTATCGTGGAACAATTTATCGTGGGAAGACTTCACTAGTTCTTGTCCACTCTACACAACTAAACTGATTAGTCATTTTCTCACACTTATTACGTCACGCCAAATTCTACCCCTTTTTCTTATTTCCAATTAGTTACCCCTTCTGGACTACACCTAACATTACTTAACACGATCTCGAGGACAAATTTTACTAGTATCTGATTGGTCTAATGAATTATATACTAGATAAAATTACATATTTTAATTAAATTTTTGATTTTCCCGTCGATTGATTGAACCGTGGTGCTTGTTCTTAGCTTGACATGTCAGCTTCTTGGGCAGATGCTTCAACGATGTCCGGGCATTTAATTAGTATTTAATTGGTAGATGGTGACTAGCAGTGGAATCCAGGATGTACATTTCGTCTTATTTGGGACTCGTCAGCTGGATGTGCCTGCATTTCTCAGTGAGTGATGATGTTCCCACCGAGGCTCAAACGCAGTGACCACAGTTTCGAACGCCAAAGCGTTATCCACTAGACCACTTGGGCCACGAAAGCCACCTCTTGTGCAACGGGTCATATTAATTATTGAATTGAATTTTTTGACTTTCCCGTCGATTGATTGGACCGAAGTGCTCGGTCTCAGGTAGACATGTCGACTTCTTGTGAAGATTCAATTCAATTAGTATGACCTGTTGCACAAGAGGTGGCTCTTGTGGCCCAAGTGGTTTAGTGGATAACGCCATGGCGTTTGAAACTATGGACACTTGGTTCGAGCCTCGGTGGGAACATCATCACTCACTGAGAAATGCAGGTACATCTAGCTGAAGAGTTAAAAATAGGACGAAATTCGCATCCTGGATTCCACTGCTAGTCACCATCCACCAATTCAATAATAATTACCTATCAATTTGTTTATTGGATATATCACACAATGAAACGTTAGTATTAACTGGATGACATTTCGAACACAATTTATTGTTCATAATCATATAAATAATCACGATTGTACAGCTAATGAAAATGAGTCGTCGAATTTTTATTCGCTGTTTACGTCGTTTTCTAATGACACAATACATAAAATAATAACTGTAGTATGAGATGCAATTAAAATGGATTTCATCATGAGCTGACATTAGTTAGAGAACCATTGGAAAATCTGGGAGTACTGGACAGCTGTTTCGTCCTAGTTTGGGACTCTTCAGCAGTACGCACCCACCGGAATTCGAACCCAGGACCTTCCGGTTACCACGCAAGCTCGTATACCATTAACCCACTGGGACCTGTTCCAATGGTCTTTGAATTCTAACATCTGCCAATTCACGACATAGCGCGACCTGGGTTCCAATGGGAAGTCGTGACCAGTAGGGTGCAGCCAGTCGGGTGTGAGGACAAATACTCGCCGAAGGCATTGGCTAGCGGTCGCGCTATGTCATGAATTGGCAGAAGTTAGAATTCAAGGACCATTGGATCGGGTCCAAGTGGCTTAATGGCATACGAGCTCGCCTTGTAACCAGAAGGTCCTGGGTTCGAATCCCGGTGGGTGCGTACTGCTGAAGAGTCTCAAAGTAGGACGAAACATCTGTCCAGTACTCTTAGGTTTTCAAATGGTTCTCTAACCAATGTCAGCTCATGATGAAGTCCTGAAACCAATCAAATCCCTACAAATCAACACTTAAAATTAAAATGTTTATGATTATAATCATAGTTAAATCTCAAGTTGAAAAGTAATGTCATTTGACAGAAGGATAGGACTTGGGCACTGTGGTAGAGTATAAATCCACTTTGAATAAAAGTTATTTTGATAAAGTCTTACAGTGTTTACTGATGACGTTTCGAGCAGAATTTACTGCTCACAATCATATCAAGGTCCTCACATAACTTTCCGACTGGTTTTATATTATTCCGCTATTTTTCATCTCAAAAGGAAAATAAAACTAATGGGGAAACTGATAATGATAATATTAATAAGAAAGAACATGAAGCATCTACAGTTTTACCAAATAAGGAGAGAACATCTGGGACCCTACGTAGGATTCTTCATAAAGCAGCAATTAGAGTGGTATTCAAACCTACAAACTCACTCAGGGACAAGCTCTGTAGGTTGAAGGACTCAGTTGACCCAATTAGACAAAAAAATGTAATTTACAAAACACCTTGCAATGACTATGAGTTAAGTCAACTACATAGATCAAACTACCAGATCGCGGGTAGTCAGACTGGCAAAACATAAGTATTCAGCTAAGGCTAGAATAGTTGACCCCGAGAAGATAAATAATTTAGAAAAAAGCTCAGCAATCGCAATGCATGCGCTAACACACAACCACACAATAGGGTGGGAGAGGGTTAAAATTCTAAAAAGTAATCTAGGTAGGTGGAGAGAGAGGTTGATTACTGAATCCTTGTTCATAGAATCTACACCTAACACGTGCAATAAGAATGACTCACCCCTCATACCAGAAATATAGAAGACATTACTACCAATCAAATCAAGAGAGGAGAAATAGTGGAACCATATAAACGAAGTTGGAAAGTTGTGTGGGTACCTTGATATGATTATGAATAATAAATTCTACTCGAAACGTCATCAGTAAATATTACTCTCTAACACTATGAGACTTAATCAGAAATTTTTTTATCCATAACGAAATAGTGTCATTTATCGAATAATTCATAGAATGCATTGATATTGGAAGGGGGTGTTAAATGATAGGATTGGTAGGCAAATAAAAACTTTACATAATATGATGTGAAGTTTGATAAGGTAGAATTTAATATTGTAAAAAAAGCTGATTTAGAATGGCAAGGTCGGCAAGTGAAATAATACAGGGGACAGTTTAAACTGAGAATAATAGCAGTAATAGTCGACGTAATTATTTCTTTCAACATCTATACATCCTATGAATTATTCTATATTGGGCATTATCTGCTTTGCCACTTGACATTTAACTATGATTATAATCACAAACACCTTTGTTTAAATTTCCTCACGGGATTTAATGTCTTAGAAACCTTAAATTTGCGGTTGTACAGCTTGATAATAAATTAGTTGAAAAGAGTTTCTTCGCTGAATCACTTATTTCGATTTTCTATTTGCCCCAATGGGAATTTTCCACGTACTCGATATGCCACATAGTAAAAAGTCCTATTTACTGTGTGATGTTTCAAACACAGTTTATCGTCCATAATCATATCAACTGTAACTTTACAGCTTCGAAGCTTTTCTTTTTTCCATTTGTCGTAATGGTAGTCGAATTTTCTAGGTATTCAGGATAGATGTTGAGTTATTCTCATTGTTCTTGCTATCACATGATTCGAATGATCGCGGAATATTCAATAATTTTCTACCTGATCTTAGTTCTTTACTGAAATGAATTTGAATCCTTTCACAAAATAACTATATAACCTAAGGAATAATAATTTCTTCACCTCATAGCTAACTATTCCATGCATTGGAAAACGGAATGACTCTCCCAACCTCATTACCTACTATTAGAAAAAGTGTATGGCAGACTGGAAAAAATACAAACCTGCAAAGATGGTCTGCTGTTCCGTTTGGAAAAGCACAAACATTCATGAACAGACATAAGAAACGCATAGTAGGTGAAAATTTTAATAACTCAAAAGTCTTTGGTATATATTCCCTCCTCACTCTTCATTCTTCAACAAAGGTGAACGACAGTAAGATGATACAATACTATTTATGAACGTGAAAGATATTTTTGGCAGGAAATCTTGTTTCACCTTGGTTACTTGCCTTCTGATAGGTATATGTGTGAATTACTTAAGGTACTCCTGTTTCTGCGTTACCCAACAGCGATGACACAAACTCTGTCACAATGCGTATGAATTAAGTCCGGTTACCGAACCATAATAGTTCCCTAAACATTATTCAGTAGTACAAGAGGTAATTTATGAACTTCAGTTCAAAGTATACGAAACATGACTACATATCTCGAGACTTTCAGACACTATTGGTTCATTACTACCAACAAGCACAAAACCTAAAGCAAAAAGTTTTCTATTAACTGGTTTCCATTGTAGAGTAGATACATCACATACGATTAGCAGATGGTTATTCACTCACCAGTTACAGACAAATGATTGATCATTTCTTCTTGACGTCTCCACATTGTAAGCAGTCTAGGATCAGCATTCCAGCACAAAGCAGTTTGAATAATCGAAAACGTTGTAATTTCCATTCTGATGAAGATGAACTTTGATTAAGCATCGGATATAAATACCTTCAATATTAAAAGTAGATTTTGTAAAAAAAAGTTAGAAAATAGCGACTTCAACAAATAATACTTTTTAGCCCAATTATGTTTTACTTCTTATTGCTGATTCAGCTATCAGTACATGCAGCCGTGCTCAACAAAGTTGATGGTTATTTCTGAGAAAAACTGGGTCAGACGATGCTATTTAAGTAATCTTTATAATATACTTGTGACTTAGAAGATAATACTGAGTAAATACCGCTCAATGATTATGATCAACTTTCTGAAATATCACGGAACATTTTGTGAGATTGATTGCCAACATCTTTAGAAAACTTACAATATCTTTAAAGATGCAAATATCTACATATAATGACTTAAAGAGTTATTTAGTGGGGCTTTCATCTGTTTCAAGTTTGACCACGAGTTGATATCAGTTAGAGAACCCTTGAAAACCAGAGAGTACTGGATATCTGTTTCGTCTCAGTCTAGGACTCATTGGCTAGAAGTATGAATTGACAGAAGTTAGAATTCATGAGCCACTGGGTTGGGTCCCAAAGGCTGAATGATCCACAAGCTTGCCTTGTAACCGGAAGGTCCTGATTTCGAACTACAGTGGACGTGTACTGAGATGGGTCAAGAACTAGAACGAAACGGCCGTCCAATGCTCCTTGGTTTTCCAGTGGTCCTCCAACTGATATCAACCCGTGATCAAACTTGAAATATGATGACTTTATTCTCCTTTTCATTCCTTTAACCTATCCAAATCTAACTTTCCAATAAATGGATAGCATTGTCGAACGGGATAGCATTTGAAGGGTGAAAAATGAAGTGACAGATACTTTGACGAAGTATCAAAATAAATCAACTAAACAAAATTCTTTGTTCCAATGAATGCATAAACGAAACCAATCTATCATAAATCCCATGTGTGCAATATTAATACATTTCTAGAGTGTAATTCCCGTGTGCCTGATGAAATGCTAAGTATTTTGCCAAAGAAAACAACATGTTATTGGCCAATGCATAGCTGTGACTGACAGTTTGATCAATCAATATTTTCTTTTGACGCCTGTCTTACTTCTTTACCCCGTCTTCTTCAGGCAACAGTGTTATGGATTATATCAATGCGTTATGTAATTTTACTTCCAATAATAAAGGATTACCACCAGGTGCACTGCTACTGGCTCTATCTACCGCCCTCTCTTAGCTCCACAAAAGGTTGGTCACATTTATTTCTTTGCTTAAACTAGAGCTTATATCTGTTTTTATAATAATGGTCATTCTATCTCAATAAAATCCTCTTTCAAAATAATCTGCAAAGTGAACGGCAACCTGCGAAGAACAGTCCACTTTGCATTACTGAAGCTCCAACTAGCAACTGGAGCTGTGCATACGAAATACAATTGTTTAAGCAATTCTACTGTCATAGTTACAATCTTGTATTTTTCAGCTAACTTGATTTTATTTGTTTATTTCTTAATTTCTTGTAAGTCTAGTACCTTTTCGATTTCCTACGGAACACCACATTTTCCTTCCTTCCAATGTGCATCACCCGCCAAATTATTCACCTTATTACTTAACTCTAATACACCTATTAAACTCCTCATATACATTGATTAATATTAATAACTAGGATTATGGCACCTCGTCACTATTGTTACTATCCTCTTTCGTAAAAGATTGTATATAAACACAATTGTGTAGCTAAAGTGAATTTGTCTTAAATAACCTCCACTGAATTAGAAGTTTTATATCTTTATATATCAACTAACCTTCTATCCAGTTCATATTTAGAGCCCAGTTAACAATGGCTAACGATAGTCTAAAGTTTTAAACGAAACTATCCCTAAATCATCAGTTGAAATCTTTAACATAGGGCATCAAGCTAGAGCTTAGAAGTTTCGGTAGCAGTGGTGTTTAATTTTACGGGGTGGGGCTGCTAACCACTGGCCTATCCATCCCTCTTTACCGGCCTTGTTACTAGCTTAGCGAGGTAAAAAAGTGTGTCGGCTGGAGATAGAACCGTGGACCACAGGTGTGGTTGGCAAACATTCTACTGCTAAGTCACCAAGTCTTCAGTTGAAATCGTACTGATTGGTATTTAAACTGCTAATCAGTATCATTCATCATTACATATTGGCTTATATCATTTTACACAGAACTGGCAATGAATCATATTCATTTTATGGTGGTTTTTTGGCTTCCGTCGTTTTTAGTGGACACAGAGTGAAGAGGGGGTGAGGAACCATCAAGTAGAGCAGTTGAATCAGTGGAAGGAAGGCAAGATGATAGAGATGAAGACAAAGATAAGTGAGTAATAGAGAGGTTTTGTGTGCATTTTGGATTGTGAGGACGATTGTTACTTCCCGGCTGCCCACACCGTGGAAGTTGGTTGCGTGAACGCAGAGCCCAGGGGACAACTGCTTGGGGCCGGTCACACGCGGCCTGTTTTTGTTTGTTTTCTTTTGTTTGGTGTGTCTCAGTAGCATACTTATCACTCCTGCCCGTGACACGGCAGCAGGAAGCGCGGTCGTTGTTAATCCGGGCCACGGCCGATCCGGCATGATATTTTGTGAATTTGTTTGATTGCATGGAGGATTTAATCATGAGCTGACATCAGTTAGAGAACCATTGGAAAACCTAAGAGTACTGGACAGATGTTTCGTCCTACTTTGAGACTCTTCAGCAGTACGCACCCACCGGGATTCGAACCCAGGACTTCTGGTTACAAGGCGAGCTCGTAGACCATTGAGCCACTGGGACCCGATCCAATGGTCCTTGAATTCTAACTTCTTGTTTGAATCATGGTATTGGATGGGGTAGCTGCTTTTTGTTTAACCGCTATCCAAACAACCTTTCTGGCATGGTAGAACCTCAAGAGACATAAGTCTCAGCCAGTATAGCTTGAATAGATCATTGCGGTGTTCAAGCCCGACCACCATGTCAAGGTAGCAGCTTTCGGTCGGTGTGTGCTATGTGTGCTATTTGGAGCGTGGCAACTCGAACTGCTGCACTTCGGTGCCAAGCTCTATGTTGAATCCAGACAGACAGATATTCATTTTATGGTATTATAAATTACTAAAGTGTGTTAAATAAAATAAGCCCCAATGAAAATGTACTGTTAAATAGTAAAATATCACTCCAAGAACTAAATATTCTTATCCACTTCACATTTCACTTACCAATATAAAGCATTGGCAAATCGCATTGAAAAAGCAGCTCGATGTAAAATCAAGCTTACTAGACCAGAATAATCAAGATACAAGTCATGATTTATTGCCTAAAAGAATAGAAATCAGTATAAAAAACAATTTCAGATATTATTGAATCGATAAAAAGATGACTACACAATACATATACGATAATGAAAATAAACGAAAAGTACTTTGGGTAGCCAGGATATAAGGACATACGATACTTTAACGGGAGTGCATTTAGTATCTGACATATTATAAACAATTATAAGTCTCAATTCAGTCTAAAGAAGAATCTCTGTGACTCAGTTTTGATAAGAACAAACTGCGGACACCAGTAAAATGACAGCACCACAAATAAATGACCTTCATACGCAGTAGTGCTAGGATGGAAGCACTTAACTTTGATATGTTGTTTAAACAATTAAAATAGACCTGTAGTTAATGAATTAATGTTATTAAAAACATCAATGTTGCTTCAATCATATGAAATCAATTTTAGTATCTATGGTTTAAAGTTCAGTAGCATTAACAAAATAATACACACTGAATATCAGAAAAATTAGGAAAGATATACGAAATCATACACTTATAGTCTCCACTGAAGCCAGGTCAGTAGTAGTGTATGGAATTGCTTCTTCTGCACAAAGAGAACCGCTTGTTTCAGGCGAATCACAATAGCCTCTGTTGTTTAGAGTATGTGGTACATCGATGTTTTTGGCAGTTCATTTGGTACCCGGTAGATGATAGAAAAAGATTCGTCAATGTTGGTTTTTTGGCCGGTTTGGACCAGGTGATCTGATATCGGAATGTTGATGGTTTTTACTACACCTTTACTTAGTCACACTGATAAATGTTCGCAACCATGAAAAATCAAGTTCCTAGAGCAACGGGTAATATAACTCGTTTCACAAGCGCAGTTGAATCGGTTGATACAGTTAGGGATTGTCTATTCTAGGTACTTCACTTCCACAGGAAACATCAGTCGTGTAGAGAATAAGAGTTGTAGTTTACTAGAATTAAAATTCTTTGAATAGATTTTCTTAAATTGTCAGTAATTATTTCACTAGGTGTGTCGCCCTCGAATTACAGTTGTATATATAAAGGCTTCTTATTTACCCATGAACAATAGTCCTTTTCTGCCCTCTAGGTCATGCTATTCTTGATGAACTTTTCTGGATACCTATTTTCAATAAGGGTGCCATAAACTCTCCTTAGTTCATTTCAGTTACTTCTTCTGAGCATATAGCTCTCACACTACGGCTTAGAGTCCTTATTAAATTTATTTTATACTGGAAAGGAACGAGGCAATGAAAATATGTAGTTACTTTAAGGTTAAGAAGTATAGGTGTATCTCAGTGAAAATTTTCGTTCCCCTAAAACATAAAACCAATTTTTGCAGATCAAATGAGTTAACATGACCAATCAGTGGAGAATAATAATTACCAGATCTTGTAGATCTAAGGAGTGACTGAGTTTCACATTAAACTGTTAAAGACCAGCAGTACTAGTTCATACAAGTCTAGTCTTTGAGCAGTGTTCTACACAACTCATCAAATATAAAACAGAGCTGATAGTTGAAGACAGTAAATACTTAATAACCTCAGGCTCTTAGTCAGAGCCTTGATAATTCTAAATCAAAACAAACCCTACACATCCATTCGATCCGATGATATGAGACTGAAGAAAGTTAAAATTGCATACAAATAGTATGCTTTAATAAGTAAATACTAAGTAGCTTTACTAAAATCCTACATATTGAACAAAGGCAGAGAAAAAATATTATTACAATGCAGGAAAAACGAAATGATGAAGCTAAAACATTTATGAATGAAGAAATACCTCGGTTATTTGAGGTAGGTACAGAAGAAGATTATCAGATGAAAGTAATGATAATGCTCTTGTCGCCCAATGACGTATGCCTTGATCAACAACATCCGGTGAAAGTAAACGTAGAACAAGACCAGGATAAGGCACTGGAGTAACTGTTAAAAGACTGAACAGGTATAAATAAGTGAATCAAAATCATGAAAGAAATTACGACAGAAAAATGTATTTAATCAAAATGTTTGATATAAGTGACCATTCAGTGAATATTGAGCTCACAAACAACAGTCGCGAGTTATTTATACGTGAATAACGCATTATCGGAAGGAACTTTCAATGCTATATATATATATATAAAACGTTTTTTGGTAAATGCAACTAAATGCCCATTAGACGAATTATTCTGATTCAAAACAAAATATTCAACGAAGAGACGCTTTACAACGAATTTATTATCAAGCTGTACAACCGTACAATCTTTAAGAAATTGTATCCTGCTCCACTAGAATAGGTAAACTGATAGATGCACATGGGGCGGCCAGATGGGGGAGCTTGTCTTTCACAGAGATGGAAAACAACTTGCGGCTGGTGAACGTCATTTGTAATTTTACTGCAAAGAACGTCTTACTGACTACTTTAGACAGACGGTTTTTGAGCATGTCTGCGGTAACGTACATTGGCCGTAGCTAGAGAACGCTTTCCACACGGATACGACAACATAAACCAGCATGGTTTTACAAGGGAGAAAGTAAGTGTGTGTGAAGCTGTATTCTGGAAAACCTGATCGACTCCTGTCACTCTACCAACCCTGACCGTGATTTTAAGATCATCTACCGAATCCATGCTAACTTACCGCGTTTTATTCGTTACAGACTTCTATAGACAGCGGAGGCCTTGGCAATTCATGACTTTAAGCCAGACCTTTGTGTACAAAAGAAGTATGTACTATCCTTACTTCTACCTTGGCCGTAGAGGAATAGACATTTATTTATTTTGTTTAATTAGTTATTCTATGTACTTTTCCCTTATTACTTCGATTATTTTTATTATTATTATTACGACTCTCACTCTGAATCTTTTCCACTTGACCCATTTGACATTTTAAACCCAACATTATTCATTTGTATACTTTTTATTTTTACAATATTATATTCTATCTTATCAAGTTTCACAGCATGTTATGTAACATTTTATATTCGTCTACTGATCTTATAATTATATACCTCTTTCCTAAATCTATACACCTTATGCATTATTCTATATATGACATTAATTATTTTGCCACTTGACATTAAACTATGATTATAATCACAAATATTCTCATTTCATACCATTATTATTTCATGTATTCACACCTTTGACCTAATTCCCTCACCGAATATAATTTCTTTATAAAACCATATATATATATTTAATAATATATAAATAAGTAGCACAGCGATTCTTTACGTTCTAATTTACCCCTGTAAATCATGGTTGCAGGTCTTTGACCATAGATGTTATGGTTTTGTTTTTCATGGCACATGGAGTACTGTGGTAAGTATTATTTTTGTTAACTGAAGTGGAATCGGAGTGTGTATTGCCCCGCAGTTCACTCCGTCCTTCTCTATGGCTCTGAAACATGGCCAATACGCGTTGAAGACATGAAAAGGTTGACTGCTTTCGATCATAGATGTCTGCGATCTCTGTCTCACGTTAGGTGGTTTAATAAGGTAAGTAATGTTGATGTTAGGCGTAAAGTGTTGGGCAAAGAGGGAAAATCAATCGACGAAGCTATAAAGTTACATAGATTGAGATGGCTAGGTCACGTGATGCGCAAGCCTAACCACCGCCTCCCCCAACGGGCATTGTTAGCTGATATAGGTTCAGGTTGGAAAAGACCAAGTGGTGGACAAACAAAAACATGGCCTCATCAATCCATGAAATCCTTGACAGTTAAACTGAGTCAGGTAGGGAGATGCAGACTCCCGGGTTGGGGCCCTCGGGACTCTAGGAATCAATGGCTGGAGACAATAGGTGACATGGCTCAAAATCGTTGTCAATGGCGCAGATGTATTCAGTCTCTGTAATCTTTTTCCTTTTAACCATTACCCGTTCTGTCTCGCTTTTACACTTGTCAGACTCTATTGATTCTCTTCACTCATCTTCTTGTCTACCTTTGTGTGGTATTTGAAACGTGGCAACTCTAACTGCCGCACTTCTGTGCCAAGTTCTATGTTGAATCCAGACAGACAGATTCGGAGTGAAAGACAGACAAAGTCTGTTAAAGCCATGCTTAGCGACTATTATTTGTCTGTACCATATAAGAATTCATAGGCCATTGGATCAGGTCCCAGTGGATTAACGATCTAAGAGCTCGCCTTGTAACCAGAAGGTCCTGGGTTCGTACCCTAATGGTGGACGCGTACTGATGAAGAGTGCCAAACTAGAACGAAACAGCCGTCCAGTACTCCCAGTTGGTTTTCCAATGGTTCTCTAACCGATGTCAGCTCACAATGAAATCTTGTAACCAGACAACCAAATCCTTACAAAGCAATGCTTGAATATCTACGATTAAATAATGAACGAATTAAAATGACAGAATATTGAAGAATAAATAACACGACAGTTCAAGTTACCTGTATATTTCTTTCAGTAACTTTATCCAAGACCATTTCTCCGACGTATCTTTTAAATTCTGCCTAGTGATTTGCGGCCAACTTACTAAACAACTAGTAACAAATGCTAGCATAGCTTCAGGTACATCACAAATAGAATAACGTAAATTCCATAGCACTTCAATTGTTACTGGTGGTGGACACGGTAAATAACAGGTAATTGAGTTGATATTACATCCTTGGAAACTACTAGTACTATTACTGTTATTATTACCACTATTGTTACTACTGTTGCTGTTCAAAGCCACATTATTCCAATATTTCCACCAGTATGTATATTAACACCAAGATTACTGCCAAATGAACCAATGCTGTATTGATTAAAAGATGAATGCATAGAATTAAGAGTTGCTAACTGTAATACAGGAATACGAGCATGTTCTTTTTGACTAGATCTACGCACAGATGAAGATGCTGCACTATACGCCATCGCACAAGCATCTACTGATTTAAATGATAATTCTGGATTTAGAGTTTGAAGAAATATTGCAGATTTAGCTTCAAGAATTGATTGTTTTGCTTCTGGACAAAGACTGCTATATGGTGAAGAGATTCTGAAATAAAAAGAAAGTTAAGTTGATCAATAAAGTTAGGGAAGTAGTGCGAGAAAATCTACGTGAATCACTTCTAGAATTATTTTGATGCCATATTCACAATAAGGAATTAGCAAATATAACCCATATATTAGCAATTCAGTCAAGTATAAAAAATAAATTTTGCTATTAACAATGATATATTATTAAGAAGAGGTGAAGCAAGATATCAAACTCTAATCAGTTGTCATTTTATCAAAGCTAAACAGAAATCATTGTACTAATGACTACTTAAATCGACTTAAGTAACAACACTTAGAGAATGTTACTGAAAACGTTTAGTCAACCACTGTATTTAATATTTGATACTCCTCCATAACTTGATCTTATTAGTTACATTTGAAAATGAAGGCAATATGATGTACACTGATGAGCATATAAATAATATTTTAACAGGATAGTAAATATTTGTATCTTTGGCAGTGTGCTACAGACTGTTTTAATTTAACAGCAAATGGTTTATTTACAAGAACGTCACTGAAAGCTTTGTAATAATTGAAACCAGATTGACGGCTAGCTTATGTTCTTGGACATGAAGACGAAGGGGACGTCCACTTTGGCGAATATAGTGTTTTTTGCAACGTCCAAATATTAGACAGACGAAACATCAAGATCGCAAGAGAATTTATTAGAAGACCGGTATTCCACTGAATAGTCAATCAATAAACACATCGAGATAGACTAAATTTACCAACCAGTAAGAAGAAAATCTCACACACAAAGGGTCAAAGTTAAAGTCAAAGAAACAGTCAGTTTCAATATAAGTAGCGTAAAAGGTGTGAAAATACACAAAAACAACCAATCACATTCAGGGTCACACACTAGGAGAGATGACTAACAAACTCGTGGATAAATCTAACAGCTCACTTCAAACTGAAGTATGCGATGAAGATGTTGCCTAATAGGGCAATGAAAGCTTCGTAAATTGACTATATAGCTCAGAGAAAACAACCACATGAAAAACATCCACCTGAGCTACAAATCTTCTCCGTCGTATCTAAACTGAATTCTTTCACTCAAGTTTGCAATGTTGTTGTCATGTTAGCTGGCTCGCCATAATGATTCATTTTGCATTGTTGGTATTAGATGGTTGACAGAATTCACTCTGCACCAAAGATAGGAATAGACACATTACAATTGTTACTGACTAGTGTCAAATCGAAACTAACCAAAACAATCCTACAAGAGGTCAATCGGGAGCCTGAATCGCTCAGTAGCAATGTCTATAACTGTAACTTTAGACGACGTGAGTTCAAATCTCCGAAGGGACATGAGTTCCTTCGAGGTTGCAGATACGCCTCATTGACTAGTGGAAAGTAGCACAAAACCTAGGTTTAAGGCTTCCTGCCTACTGCTTCCGACCATCTAATACCAACAGGTTTGCTCAAAAAAATATGGATCAGTTTATTTCTGCAATTCCATACAATCGAGTTAATAGATTAAAACTGTCACTCCAAAATATGTTCATAGACTAATCAAACTCTCGAAACTTTAATCTTTTCGTGGTTTCTCTTGAAACACCCTTCCTTCAAAGATCTAATGCAAAGATATGGAGTCTAAAGTTCGCCAAAAACGCAGTACCTATTACTGTCTCAGCTATGTTCTCAAGTGAACTCACTTTGAAATTACTAGCACTTATGAATTTAGTAGCTGAATGATAGTCAACTTCTTTTGTGGTGCATATATTACAGATTCAAAGAAGCTAATATATCCAGATGATTTGTTATTCCCTGATGATTATCAAATCCAAGTTAAAGGACTCCTTTAAATATCCTTTCCAATATCAAGAGTATACGACTCTTATTGAAAAAATGAGATGAAAATACACATTTTTATTAGCACTACTAAAGAAACATTATCTGATATAATGAGTTTTAAAATAGTTTCATGAATAGTGATAATGCAAGAGAAAGAGAATAGATGACTTACTTTTCACTGGTAGTTCCAAATTCATTATTCAATTCGATGATAGGAAATTCAATCTCATATTGGTATTCGGGAAAACAAAGCTATATACAAAAAATAATACATATGTGAACAATATCTCTCATTTAAAACAAAGTAGTACGTTTATTCAAAACTAAATAGGAAATGTAACATCTATAGTTGAACAACAAGAAATATCAGTAGTTTATATCTAAACTAATGCATATACATATAGTATTTATAGAATGTGCAGAAATTTCAGAGGAGTTTATTGCATGTTATTTTCCCTTCGTACACTATATTCAAGTTAAATTAACTGACAGTATATTACGTAACACAATAGTCTCTAAACTGAAGCACAAGCCATTCCATTATGATATATCTGCTTTGTCTCCTTCAAGAAATCCACAATATCTAATTGAAAGCCATTTGTAAGTTATTTACAAATACATTTTTAGACACAAGGGCATAACTGAAGAACAGTTAGCTCATGTATTGGAAAACGTTGCCACCCATAATCAGGCCCTTCCTCAAGTTTAGTCAGAACTGGCAACTCGGAAGCTTGTAAATATTTTAAACACACACACAAGAGTAGATAACACCAATAGAAGTCACATCTTAATCGATTAAAACAAGTCGAACGAGAGAAAATATAATCAATAGAGAGATGGAAGTTTTTGTAGCCCAAGTTCTACGCAGGTCACCAATATAAGTAATGCACAGAATTTTTAGCGACAATTATTGTATAATAGTTTTTATTTGTCCAGGATCTTCAAGTTAAATGCTAACTGAGAGTTTATTGTGTGACACACTTCTGTATGACCCGAAGCTCACACCAATCCCTTATGATATTTCTTCTTTGCCACCATTGAGAAAAGCCAATTTAAAAAATGGGGCAGAAGTACATTTTTTGACCCAAAAACATAAAATAGCTAAATAATTGAAGATTGCGGGTGATTAGTTTTATTTCTCAGGCAGTACCAAACATTTTACGAACAGTTATCTCATATACTGAGATACGATGCCAACTACGGTATTTCTTTTTCTCAGGTTTGGTATAAACTACCAAATCAGCAGGTTTGTAGACATATTCGATGGTCACAAGAGTAGACGACACCATTAAGGGTAATATCTCAATAGATTAAAACAAACTGAACAAGAGAAATTATGCAGAGTATAATGATGGCGTATTTGGTAGCACAGGTTTTAAACAGGCCGCCATGAGAGCTAAAAATCGATAAAAACTCATAAATATTTGTTAACTGAAATTAACGAAAGCCGTTTATTGATGATAAAAATGTATAATTTCCCGATTTGTTCAATAAACTAAAAGCAACAGAATAAATACCAGCTTACCTGTACAAGTGGACAATCTGGTGAAGTATTCGACTGAGACCAAGTAGGCCTAAAATCATGCATCATTTCAGATGGTGGCCAAAGACCAACAATCGCTGTATTTTGTTTTAATCCACCATTTATATCGAATAGAGGGAAATTCACCCAACCAATTAACGTCCCATCAACTACAGAGAAATTATAAGTACATTTCAAAAGAAAAGATGTTATTCAAGTGTTGGTTTGTAGGGATTTGATTGGTTTCAGGACTTCATCATGAGCTGACATCAGTTAGAGAACCATTGTAAAACCTAAGAGTACTGGACAGATGTTTCGTCCTAGTTTGGGACTCTTCAGCAGTACGCCCCACCGGATTCGAACCCAGAATCTTCCGGTTACAAGGCGAGCTCGTATACCATTAAGCCACTGGGACCCGATCCAATGGTCCTTCAATTCTAACTTCTGCCGATTTACGACATAGCGCGACCGCTAGCCAATGTCTTCGGCGGGTATTTGTCCTCACACCCGACCAGCTGCACCCTACTGGTCACGACTTCCCACTGGAACCCAGGTAACTACCTACCTGAATAGGGCCAGTCGCATCTCATTGGTATTCAAGTGTTGGTTTGTAGGGATTTGATTGGTTTCAGGATTTCATCATGAGCTGACGTCAGTTAGAGAACCATTGGAAAACCTGGGAGTACTGGACAGCTGTTTCGTCCTAGTTTGGGACTCTTCAGCAGTACGTACCCGCCGGGATTCGTTATTTATCTGACGAAATGAAACTCAACAAGACAAAATTTAATACTCCAGGCAATGCAACCATGTAAACTTTTGATTAGTAGTGATAAAGCATTATAAAAATGTATCAGTTCAATCCTCATCATATCTAACGATCAAAAAGTATAATATAGGGAATTACCTAAAAGTCTGATCGTTAAAATAGCAGTCTACTGTGAGCAAATAATTTATAGGACTCCACTCAATACCAAAAGATATTCAACGGGATCGCATGCAAACTACGAGTACACAGTATGATCCACAGTAATATTACTATTTTGAAAATGAATGACTTCTAATCACTTCAATGCAACACAAGCAACACGCTCATGCAGAAACAAAAGTTGGGATTCATGAGCCATTAGATTCTAACTAAGCTGCTGCATAGTAAAAATGTGCTTACCACAAAACCTCTAGTTTCTGGGTTCTACCACTGGAGGCGTTGTCAGTAAGCACTACTGAGAAGTTCTAAAATCAAGATTAAACAACTCCCCAGTGTTCCTTGATTCTAATTACTCGTTTAAGACATTTCAGTTCTTGATGAAATCTACCTTGATAACAGTCAAATTTTAACAATCACAACATCTAAATAAACAGAAATATAAAACTTAAAAAAGTAGTGTTAACTTGATTCAACATAAGATAGGCTCTCCTCGAAATTCGACTAAATGAGAGGAATGAAATGAACTTAGAACTATAAATTCACCAAAAAACGCGTTTGCAGAATACACGGAAGATAACACGATAGCCGAGTTTTCGTGTAACATATTGACAGACGACAAATACTCCTACACTACAGCAGGATGTTGGCCGATATTTGAACACTAAACACCTACTGTGTCCTTAAAAGGAACGAAAACAATAGGCTATTAAAAAAGATATCTGAAATACTTTCCGTGTAGTTTTCCTAGAATTTACTTCTATCAGAATCAAGTATTCATCCAAATTATCTTTTTTTTCATCCCTTTAAGTTCAAAGTGGAACTTTAGGCTTTAGACTTCAGGCATTGAAGTTCTGTTAGCACTGGTGTTTTTTCTACAGTGGCGACATTTAATTTCAACGTTTCAAGACTATAAACATGTGGAAAGAAGCAATAACACAATATTTTAGCGTTAAAAAAAGATAATCGAAACACAGGGGATGGGCAACTACAGAGTTATTTTTCAAGAGCCAGTGTGTAAGGATTCGATGTCGGATTGATATTAGGCTGTGATCAAACTTCGAAAAAAAAAATAAATCCCTACCAACTAACTCTGGAAAATTAATCTGATGCCTGCTAGTGACTGGCTATAAGACGAAGTTTCCTGTAGTTGTAGTGAGAAGTCGTGACCAGTTGAGTTCACTACGTCGACTGTGACGACAAATACACACCGCGAAAATTGGCTGGTGATTGCGCTAATAATCGCTAATTGACAGAATTTGGATTTCATGGGCTGTTAGACTCTAATTCAGTGGCTTGATGGTCAACGAGCATGGTCTCGTAATCAAAGGCCCTGATTTCAATCCACAGAGGCGTCGTGAGTGCGTGATGAAGAGTCTCGAAAGAGGACAAAACATATGTCCATCGTTCCCTGCTTTTCAATGGTTCTTTAATTGAATTTAACCGGTGATCAAATCCGAAATAAAATGTCATTTCTGATAATTTCAGTATAATCATGTAAGTAATCGCTAGGATTCATCAAATTCATTACCGAGGACACTTATATTACGTCTTCATCCAATTTCAATTATACAAAATATTTTACATACGCTAATATGTGACATACTCTAGTCAGGAAGATGTATACTACAGACAGTATTTACTTAGACATTCGCTGATACATTTACTCTTGAATCCAACCAAAGCTACCTTATAAGAAGTAGCAAACTAAATACAATGAAACTATCGATGCTTTGCTGATCAAACAATTTTTAAGATAAATAACGCCAAAAGTGAAATATTTCGTTCACTTACAAACAGTGATCGTAACGAATAGGGACACTCAAGATAAGAATGAATTATTCAAGTGTTGGTTATAAGGGATTTGATTGGTTACTGGATTTCATCATAAACTGACATCGCCTGGCGACACATTGGAGTAGTGAGAGTACTGGACGGTTGTTTTGTCGTAGTTTGGCGCTCTTCATCACCACGCATACACCAGGGTTCGAACCCAGGACCTTCCGGTTAGAAGGAGAGCTCGCAGACCTATAATCCACTGGGACCCGATCCAGTGACCAGTCCATGAATTCCAACTTCTGTCAATTCACTACATAGCACGACTAGTAACCAGTTTCATTGGCGAGTAATTTTCTTCACACCCTACATGCTGTACCCCCTGGTCACGGAAGATTTAGGTGATGCCCCAAATAACTCAACATAAATTAAACTATTAGCTTATAAACATTTCATATATGTGTAATAAAACGAAGAAAAAATATCACAACAAGGCAAACGTATCTTATTTGTGTTAATTCATTTTAAACTTACCGTCCGAATTATCAGAATTCAATTTTTTACATGAAAACAAACTGATCGCAAGCATTGTTTCTCTCGGCAGTTGACTGATAGCAAAACCTGTATGAGTGGAGAACAAAAATACACACACATAGAGAACAAATAAATTTAAACTGATACAAAGAAAACAGAAAATTGTATTCCATTTATAGATAAGTTGTTCAATTAATAGACAACATATTTATTTGGTAAAGCCTAGCGATAATCTTCAGTATATATCAATAGTCTACTCACAAGTAGTCTAACTATTAATATTAAAAGTGCTAACGTGCAATGGCTGTTGAACTTATAATTGAAATGTAAAAGAACATCAGAAATAAATTATCTCTGCCAGTTTAGTTTGAAGTTATTTCAGTTGCATGTAATGGTTTATGTTTATTAACCAGCAGTTCACTATATGATAGCCTTTTTGAAGAAAGGAATTCCACAAGTACTCGACAGTCTAATAAGAAATATAACAACCGATAAACCCTGAGTTTAATGGCTATACTCAAATTACACTGCTGAAGTGAATGAAGCTTTTAAAAGGTTTAAAAATAGAAAAACACCGTCATAATTATGGTTTATTAAGAAATTTGTACTGAAGTTATACTCAGTCAAGTGTAGATAATTGGTGTCAGCATTTAACTTTCATCCACTCTGTCCGCTTTCCAACGCGGTAGTACTACAAGCACCAGACACAAATAGTGACTCACAACGCAGAACATGGTATGATGCATATGTCCAGTCTTCTAAGATTAGATCAAAGAGACTTTAAAAATAAAACCAATTGGTCTTCAAAGAAGCTTTCAGTGGTTGAATCTAGGAAATAAGGTCAATGATGAATTAAAAATCCAATGCACACATAATTTACCTAAGAAATGAACTATTATTATACACAGTAGGGCATATGTGCTTCGGCAGCATTTTTCCTTTTCATCCTCTTCTTTGAAGTCTTTCGTAGCTTACTCTGCGCCTGCTCATACTTTCGTATTCTCTTCATATGATTGCCTCCACTTCACTCTCGGATCCACGCACAGTTCACCATATCTCAAATCCCTACCCAGAAATCTGGTACATGACGTCACTCCGCATTCCTCTCCGTGTGTGTGTGTCCGACCAGTCTCCGCATACCTCAGTATATGTATTGGGTCATAAGTTCGTGGTTGTTTCGTTTCCAAGTTCGTATACCATTCAATGGCCCATGAATTCTAACTTCTACCGTCTTGGGATTATAGCGCGACCACCAACCGATTCGGTCAAACCGGTTACAACGCTTATGATCTCAGTCACAAATGAGCGAAATGGCCATGTGGTGTTTAGATAACTCTGACCTAGCTAGTTAGCACTACTGTTTAATGTGAATGGTTCACAACTATTACTGCTAAAGAGATACTCAAAGTTTCTCATCAAGATAGTCAGTGGTATGACTTATTGTTTCATTCATAAAACAATTGTTTATGAAAATGAAGTGTTTCCGTTATATTAAAGAAAAACATACTCGGAAATTTGAACCATTGATCGAATTGTAACACTTTAGGAAATCCGGACTGTATTGTTTGATAACGACCAGGATCACTGATAAAATAATCTCTAGTGTGTTTATTTTGACTGTCACGTGATGGAGCATGATTATTTGCCCAATAGAATTCTTTCGATTGTTGATTATAAGGCACTGAAGTGTAATGATTGCCAGTTTTATTCACTGGAGAATTAGCCATTTCACTAGGATATACTTTACTCAATGGTCTACCGGCATAAACCAGACCCAAACGTACACAATAATAACCATCTGTTCTGCAAAATATTTATATAAGCAGAAAAAATGCAATAAAAATAACTTAGAAAATATGTTGTATTAAATGAAAAAATAGGTGATTTGAACACTAATATAGAAACTAGTGCTCAGCGTCAATAAAAAAATGCATGAGTGAAAAATAAAACACCGGTAAAATTTAAGAAGCTAAAGAAAACTCAGTTAGTAGCTACTTACACCTCGGTTATATGCAATAAATTTTCATGTATCAGCCTATAAGTGATAATTGTGTGATAGTTGATGATATAATCTGATTGTCCAAACTGACATCTGAAGAAGGGTTCAAACCCAAGACACATTTGCTGAAATTATAACAAGGGAGCCAAGGAGTTTGAAAATTTTCGACAAACTCTGCTGTCGACAACCGTGGTACACAGGCTGACTGGTGTCAGAATAGAACATTGCAAACAGTTGAAGCATTTCGAGTAGTCACATTCCACTTAGTTCATGGATAATCCCCATTCAGGCATTAAGGAAAACAAAACACATAGATCAGCAAAGAGTCTCTTTTCGGCTAATTCATTTTCTTAGCTGTACAGTCGCAAATATAAATGTGTTATTTTGTATGTATGTGTACATTAAGTTTGTCAAACGAAATTACAATTGGTTATGGTTATTTTAACTAAACAGGTGAAGGTTGGTAATACAAGTCAAGGAAATTAGGTGTTAATGAAATTAGGGTAGTAACAAAGGTGATGAGGTATTGCCGAAAGAAGTTATGTAATGATATGAATAGTTTGATGAGTGAATTTTACTCAGGATGCACATAGGAACAAAGTAGATAATACGAAATTACGTAAGAGTTCTAAATGAAAACCAGAATTATAAACAATTAAAGAACAGGCAAAGAAACAAAATTAAGTCATCAAAATAAAAAAAATCTCAAGAGAAGGATCACGTCATCTCTGAGAAGAACATTCTTTGCAGCTATTCTAAGAATAGTGTTCTCCAGTCACCCACTGATCTGCAGAAGCCTCAAGGACAAGATCCCCCATTTGACCACTTCTATGTGCATATATCAGTTCACCTGCTGCTGTGAAGCCAGGTACATCGGTCGTTCGACGCGCACCCTGTCCAAGAGGATTCGAGAACACTATCCAGCATGGTTGCAATAAGGAGTGAGATAACTGAACACCTGGTTAACACTGATCATTCCATTTCAACAAATGCCTCCTGCTTCAAAGTAATCTACAGAGTCAAGAATAACTTATCAAAGGCAATGTGGTTTCGCCTTCTTTGTATCGCTGAAGCTCTGACCATTCATATAGAAAACCCGGAGCTGTGCATACAAAAGAAGATTACTCAACCACTTCTACTCTCATGGTAACAACTTTTTAAATTTGATTTGATTTGAGTTTTTTTTTATTTTGATGACTTAATTTTGTTTCTTTGCCTGTTCTTTAATTGCTTATAATTCTGCTATTCATTCAGAACTCTTAGGTAATTTCGTATTATCTACTTTGTTCCTATGTGCATCCTGAGTAAAACCCACTCGTGAAACTATTCATAATATTACATAACTTCTTTTAACAACTGTTTGTGACAATTGGTATAAGAATAAAACTTATGACAACTCATCACCTTTGTTACTACCCTAATTTCATTAACACCTAATTTTCTTGGCTTGTATTACCAACCTTCACCTGTTAAGTTAAAATAACCATAACCAATTGTAATTTCGTTTGACAAACTTAATGTACACATACTAAGCTTTCGTCGTCCTTCTGAGCAACATCTTCAGTGCAAGATTTAGCATAAAGTGAACTGATTTAAGTTCTCCAGGAATAATATAATTGTGTATCTTGGCTACCATCTTCGTGACTAGTTGGTAATTTAAGTCTCTATTGATCATTTTTATTGACTTAGAATTCAAACTTTATTGACATGTGATGATTTACTTTTTATATTAGCTAATAAATCTGGTCTATGATAGTATACTTGCTAATTGCTAATTCACTTGAGTGTTAGGCTTTTAGAAATTCCCCTGGCAGTAGATTTGGTGTTTCCTCTATTTAAAATTTCGACATTATCCTAATCAAATTGGTGTCCAGAATTATCTATATGCATTGATATTAAAGAATATATATATAACATGTATTTTCATAGCTAATTTGTGCTCTTGAATTATAATTTGAAGGGAACGCCTACTTTGACCGATGTAATGTCGATTGTAGTTCATACATTTTATATTTTGTAAATGGTATTAACTTTACCTTTTTTCCAGTTGGACCATTCGTTTTCCACAGTATCAAATGAAGTGATTGTGTTGACTGGCTTGGCTGGCTACATCTGCCTCAAATGGTCTTAATATTCTAGCCGTTATTTAAGAGATATTTTTTTATATATGGTAAGATGAATTTTCTTGTAGTCTTTGATGATGGTTTCTTGTTGGTGTTGTGACTCGATTTTAAACACTTTTTGATGCAGTTGTGAGGATATCTATTCGTTTTGAAGACAGTTAGTAGGTAACATATGTCCAAACCAAGTGCACTTTAAACAGTTTTAAAAAAAATTGGGCATTGGGTATATATGATATTCTCCAGTGTTGAAGAGAATGGAAGAGAAATACCTACTAACTGTATAGTAAAGGTTTTTGTATTTTCCAATGAATGAAAAACAAAACGATATTGTTTTCACTGACGTTTCGCTATTTAATGCTAATAGCTTTATCAAAGTATTAATAAACCGGAGTTTACAAAATCTCAGCCTATATATAACAAAGAGTTAAGGGGTGAGAAAATAGACTTAGATGAAGTTAAAAGGACATATTTTCTTACCCCGTAACTCTTTGTTATATATAAACTGAGATTTTGTAAACTCCGGTTTAATGATACTTTGATAAAGCTATTAGCATTAAGCAGTGAAACGTCAGTAAAAACAATATCGTTTTGTTTTTCATTCATTGGGAAATACAAAAACCTTTATTATACAGATAGTAGGTATTTCTCTTCCATTCTCTTCAACACTGGAGTGCTACAGTGTCTTTGAACTCTTTTAAACAATGCACACAGTTTATTTTGTGACTAATTGGGTTATTACTAATATAGTTGAGTATTTGGTCTGTGTGCGTTGATATTAAACCTATTCTGTTAGATTACAATAGGAATGATCAGGTTTGAAGCTTTGCTAAAAAGCATTGCAATACACATCACTGGTTACATTCTCTGCAATTTAGTTTTAAAATTGAATCTATTTAAAGCAAATTATTAGTAGTATAAAGAGAAAAGTTAACCCCTAAGTTTCTTTTTTACCTTGTCGAATTATTTACAAAAGCAGATTGATTAGAAGATGAATTGGATAGATTTGAAATACTACTACTTGAATTGCTACTACTTGTGTTTGAATTGTAAACTCCAATTGTTTTCCTAGGAGGTGGATTGTGTACAGCAATTAAACCGATAACTACAGCATCTAGACAATCTGCAGAGCTTTTAACTACTCTGTCTTGCTTTACTGAAAGGAAAACAAACAAAAAACATTAAAAGATTTATTAAAATGGTGCATATTGCATGGACAAAACAACTTACACAGGCTGAAAGTAGTTAAACACATATATGACATTGAAATGTCTTCAGTAAGTTTTAAAATTTTCAGCCTTGAGGATACTGATATTCGTATTGCAATCAGATGGTGCACTCAGCTCAATTCAGTTCCGATAGTTGAGTCAGTTGAAAACACTCGAATTCTGGTTGGTTTCCTGAGTGAACACAGTAGTATACTGGAACACATTCACAATTTTCACATACCATATTGTGACTTGGAAGACTTTGGTTTCAAAAGAACAACTTCAGTAAATCTTGAAGCGCAAATTAATTTGCAAATAGCAAGTTTGATCCAGTGTACTACAACAGTTCGCCCAAGTAGCTAGACAGAATTCGGGTGATTTCAGCTGATTCGGCTCTTTGAGCTGAGTCAAACCACGTACATTGTTGATTAATTATCTCAGCGCCAAAAGAAATAAAACCATATCGACAAGCTCAAATAGTAGAAAATCAGATGAAGTTGGCTACACATTAACGTAGCAAGGGTAAAATAAGAATAAAAGCTAAAGATAACGAGTATTATTAAACAAAACATTTAGGCGATAATGTACAAATTGCCGCAGGGAGAAATTCCCTAGTGATTAATCATAAAATTACATTATATATCTTTTTCTATGCATATATAAATAGAAAGAATCAATTTCACTGTTAAGGTGTTCTATAGAGACAGACAGTAACTGCATAAATTTTTCTCCTTACTTTAAAGGCATATGCAATGAAATAATTTGGCTTAATTAGTGAAATTAATAAAATATAGATAATGGGGAAAATTGCTAAACATTTTTAATGATAAATCTTCTAATATTCATCAGAAAAGTAGAGGGGACGATTGTGAGTAAATGAAGACAAGGATTATTTATTCACGCATGCAACTACTACAACTGAATTACACTGCAGTTGGATGCCACAGAGAAGTATACAACTGTCATGCGCTTTTTTTAGCCTGAAACTAAAGATACAAATGCCAACTCAGTTTAGTAATGCATGAAGAACAGAAATGTATAGTCGTACAACCGGTCCAGACATGTTTTCTAATTCACATTTAAATATACAAAAATAATGGATATTAAAAGGGGGCTGACAACTCGTAAATAGCTCTAAACAGAGTAGTAGATATAACGAAAATGTTCATTTAAACATTCAGAAGACAAAAAAAAATTCGATCAAAGAATATTCCCTTCGATAATTTCCTCTTTCAGCTCTACTAATTGTTTTTTTTTATTTCCTTCACGTTCCCAGTGGAACATAGGGTCTCAAGCTAGTGACTTGAAGTTTCTGCAGCAGTGTTTATTTTTACAGGATGGGGCTGCTAGCCTCATGCCCAACCTTTCCTCTTTACCAGCATTATTTCCGATTATGCAGGGTAAAGGAGTGCGTCTGTGGCCGGGGATCGAACCCCGGACCATGGGCATGGTCAGCGAGCGTCCTAACCGGTGTTCCACCGACGCACTTCCACCAATCACATAAATGGAATATTCTGCAATAATCTTCACTAACAATATTGGTGTTTTGATTGGATAATAGTACCTAGCGTAACGTGTCTAATCCTTTCTTTGGTGCAGACTGAATTCTATCCGTCAGGTTTGCAATGTTGCCACCAGTCTAGGTAGATCGCCATCATGGTGCACATTGATTTGATGATATCAGATAGTTGGAGGCAATCGACAGGAAGCCCAGTCTGACCTAGGTTTCGTGCTAGTTGGCATTCGTCAGCAAGGTATATTTGCCACCTTGAAGGCACTCATGTCCCTTCTGAGATTCGAACCCGTGTCATCCAGTGTTGCATTGCAAACTTGACTGATGGAATTCAGTCCGCATCAAAGAAAGGACTAGACACGTCACACTAGTTACTAGTGTCCAATCTAAGTACCCACTACAATCCTACAGAAGGTCAATCGCGAGCCCGAATAGCTCAGTGATAACATCTCTGACTGCAGCACTGGGTGACGTGGGTTCGGATCTCAGATGTGACATGAGTTCCTTCAAGTTTGCAGACACGCCTTGTGGAAGAGTGCCAGCTAGCACAAAGCCTATGTCGAAGGCTTCCTGTGGCCGATTCCCTCCAGCTATCTAATATTCGCTAAGATCAATGGAATTACACTTCAAGAAAGACGCTTAAGTTATAATAAGTATAAAAATGTATTAATAAATAGAATATCAGATAAAATTAGGAAAATTTCTACAAGAAATTAAGGATCATTAGAACCTTGATGGCCAAGGTAAGGATAGCATCTGAACCAATTTCTTTTGGATATATAGATTAGGCTCCTTAATGTAAATTTCAACAGCGAGTCTCAGTAATATGTAATAGCCTAACTCTTGAGGTAAAATTTACCATAGTCAATATAGGGGAGATGACTCTAAAGGCCTTGTTTACATCAATCTTTTGTTCTGTATCTACGAGGTGAGACAGTATAAAGCCATGAATGGACTTTGTTTCTCCCTTACTTAACCACTGTGCAGAATGGTGTTCGGCAATCGGACAATAAACACCTCCTATTGTACACCCTATGTAACTAGCTCCACAGGAGCAGTCAGAGTGATATATGTACATAAATGGGGCGAAATTAGATAGTTTATTTTTAACTCCGAAAAGCAAAATACGAGTGGTTTTGAAGACACAGCATACTTCAGTAGCACTGAATGCTCTTTTTCCTGCTGCATTCACTGATATTATCCCCGAGGAACTGAAGTTATAAGAACAAGAAACTCTTCGGAACAGCTGATACTTTGATTTACCCTGACTTTTGATTCAAATTCTTATCGACTCATTTCTTCATAATGTAGAATTTATGAAAGCTACAGAGACAATATTTAACACAGCTTTGTTTCACACAACAAGTCCTAGGTTTAAAGCAATTAGTTCCCTTTATGAATTTCGACAACACAGATAAGAAGACGTAGTTTATCTGAAACGTGTAATGTATTTGCGCAACCCATTTCGGACATTCTAGCCACACTTTTACTTGTCATATCCAGTTTTATAGAAGGCGAGAAGACATGAACCATTACAATACAGATTAGATTGTGTACAGGTCAAGGTCACAAATGATGGGTAGAGAGATGACTAAAAGGTGTGGGTAAGAAAGAAAAAACAAAGCAAAGAAGGGGTTGAAAATATAATGAAGTAAGTTGATCTTCGGTTCTAAATTGGATTACCCTATTCTTTAACACAGGTAATCACATAGTATTAACCGAAACCCACACAAATACACACACCAGAAATGTGAATCTTAGACTTTTTCTTCATTATTACTCTGATCTGCTGAAATTCACTGAAAATGGATGGTAAAAACACTGAAAACGGGATTGATGACCAATCCCAAGTGTCAATAACATGTAACAACCATAGATTCAAAACAGAAAAGGATAGTTAGGCCAGAAACACCTATTTGACAGTTTTATTTATGTAAACAATATGATAACCCTGTACTATATTTAATTGAATTTTTGATTTCCCCGTCGATTGATTGGACCGAAGTGCACGGTCTCAGGTTGATATGTCGGCTTCTTGTGCAGATGCTTCGATGATGTCTGGGCATATAATTAGTATTAAATATGTGGATGCTGACTAGCAGTGGACGGGGAAATCAAAATATCAATTAAACTAATGTGACCCGTTGCACAAGAGGTGGCTTTCGTGGCCCAAGTGGTCTAGTGGATAGTGCTTTGGAGTTTGAAACTATGGGCACTTGGTTCGAGCCTCGATGGGAACATCACCACTCACTGAGAAATGCAGGTACATCCAGCTGACGAGTCCCAAATAGGACGAAATGCACATCCTGGATTCTACTGGTAGTCACCACCCAGCAATTGAACCCTATACTATTTTAAATAACTCAGATATGACAATGATGAAATAAATTTCAAAAAGAGATCCCAAAACAAATTAAATGATGATCTGTGAGGAGATACTTTTAACTTACGTTGTTGTAAATCATTGAAGAAGACATCATCTGTTAAGAGAACAGCTTTAGGTCGTCCACTTGTAGTTAGATAACTCATTGATTCATCATAACTGTCATCATTGTGTTGCAGTGAATTATTTTTTATTAAACAGGGATTTACACAGATGCTAACCTGCCGCCAGGTAAAAAATGCATTCAACTGACAAAGTAGATTTTTATTCAAGGATAAAATTAGATTTTGTAATTTTTTTCTTGATTGTGGTTTTATATCACGTTTTAAGCTGACATGTTCTTTGTTAAGATTTTTAACAGTTTGAGCATTACGTATAGGTAATGGTGGACACTGAAATAAATTACGGAAAGTGATTAGGCATAAGAACTTTTGCGAATCTTATTCGAATAAATTGACACCACCGATTTGTCTGTTTTATTCACATAAGTATACACCTTTAAATTTAGTAGTCAGGTATGGAACAAAAAAGACGACCTGAAAATTAGGAAACTTTTTCGATTCGTTTGCCTTCCGGGTGGAACGAAGAGCTTCAAACTTGAGCTTTCAAGTTTCAGTAGAGATGGTATCACATGCCTCAAACCAGACCTGCTCTCTTCACCTGGATTGCAACCAGCTGGGCAAGAGTTAGGAGTGCGCCAGCCGAGAATCGAACATGGACTAAATGTGTGGTTGTCAACAATCCTACTAGTAAAGCACGGATACACAAATTAGGAACTTGATAAGAAAGAAACAATACAGCACGTGCTCAACAATGAGATCTATAACTGGAAATATGAGTCTCGAAATTTGTGAAAATTGTCGATATAAGTGATTCTACAGCTTTGCAACTTCATGGCGAAACATGGAGATGTGTAGCACGTATGCCTAAGACTGTAGAAAAAGGACGAGGTTCATCAACAAATACACTTCCTGAAAAATATTTTTGCTGAGATGGATACCATGAGAATCTTCTTAATACGACTACGATAAAAAGGACAATCAGTTGAACAGAATTGCAATAAGAAACAATTATTTCTAGGTGTTGAATTCACGAGACGTAATACAGTTGATCCACTAACTGTTGAATTACTTTTGAAGATAAGGCTAAGAGTTTCGCGAATACTACTCTTATACTTATTTAACTGAAAAGTTCTCAAAATTCCATGCAATTCATCCTTGCAAGCGGTACCACCTTTAAAGGTTAGGATTTCAATTACATTACACATTCACTCATATTTCTTCTTTCCAGTAACACCGAAGAGGTATTTTGTAAGCTAAGAAAGAAACCTTTAAAAACAGAAGTTTGATTACTTGCACACGTATTTCGCTTATCTGTAGGTAATGAACCATACCTGCATCAATAACTATGATGGGTTGGATTTCAGTAGAAATAAATGATGAATTTCATTGGGTTATTATTGAAGGTGAAGCAAAAATCTAGGTCAAGGCAGAACTCGAAGTAATGATTCCTGAATCACTACTCCAGAGGTTTAAAAGTTTAGCTAAGAGACCCAACGGCTAGCCAAATCATCATTACACTTCAATCACCATGAATAAATGGAAAGCCTCCAATGTAAATCTTATTATGACCCAGATTATCATTTCACATTCCATCATCACAAGTAACTGTCCCATGAGATCTAACTTCTGGGAACTAATCAGTGTTTGGTGTATGAGCAGTGGTCAGTACAACATAAGGTCACTGTAACAAAATCCATTTGTTCAAATCTTCTTGAGTCAGCCATTTTCGGGAGTTTGATAAATATCTGTTGAAACCAGTGTAAGTTTGACAAATTAAAGGTTACCTAATGTAGTCAAGTACCAAAATATCGTATTTCTTTCCAATGTGAGTCAAATTTTTCTATCACAACGACTTTAAAATTATTTGAAAAGTTAACAGTTGAGTCTCATTAGCTCATGCAACTCAATTTCACCAAGAATTAAAAGAAATTAAGGATGATTCGTCAAATCAGTTGCTATCCAAGTAAGGTAGTGCAAAGGTGATTTCCTATCATATATCACTTTTTATTTCTTTATGTTACAAGTGGAATATAGAGCTTTAAGCATTCAAATTCCAGTAGCGATGGTATCATTCTTACAGGATGGAGTTATGAGCCACACACACTCAATCTTTTCTCTTCTCTGTGCTTACTGCCGGGTTGGTGAACTAGGTTGTTTTTACGAGTTGATCACGGATTGATATCAGTTAAAGAACCATTGAAAATCAGGAAGTACTGGACAGCTGCTGTTTCATCCTAGTTTGGAAATCATCATCAGTACGCAACCACCACCCAGGACCTTCCGGTTACAAGGCAAGCTCATATACCATTCAGCCACTGGAAGTAGGAGTGCATTGACTGGTAATCGATGGTAGACCTCCTTGGGTGACTGTCGATCATTCTATCATTGATCTACAGACGAAGATGTCTTAAGACTTCAAACACATATGCGCCTGTGGTAGCTCCAAGAACAAGAGAAAGCAGATATTCGAAAATGCTGCAAACACGGAATACCAATAGTGAAAGCAAGTTGTAGATAGGTGATACTGTCGCTTATACACATAGCCATAGTATGTTTAAACAGTACATATGATCATTAGTAGAAATAAAGAATTCTGATGAGAGCATCAGAAATAGGAATAAAGATAACTCTTATATCAAAGATAATTCTATCCTTACCTTAACCGGTTTTCGCCTAATTGATGAAAGCCAATTTTCTTGATTGTAATTATTATTATTATGTAGATTATTATTAGTGCCGACAGTATTGTTATTATTATTATTATTGATACTGTTGTGACGTTTCAATCCAATTACTTTATGATTTAAACCTATATCATATACAATATCCATAATGCATACTTGTACGTTGCCCAATGCATTGATAACATCAGAAAAGGCTATTCCATAACAAACTGCAGTTAATACAGCTTTAACTGACTGACTTAAACTTGAACTGACACAATGCACCTCTTTCAACCATGATTCACTGTCAACCTGAAATAAAAAAAGTAAACGGAATTAGATTTTATTCCTGTTGTTTTGTTCGTCTTCAAATTGCATCATATTATTATTACTATCCCCTTGAGTTCCTAATGGAACATAGGACTAAAACGACATGTCTCCATTTTTGTACTGTTTTCTCCACTCCCCTTTAACTGGCTCCATGACTGTTCACAAGTTCTTATCTCCGCCTTCATGTAACCCTCAGTTCTTTGGTCCTTGTTTTTTATTCTTGCCAACCTACTATCTTGTCTTTAGTATGCAGCGAAGGCAGCTGCTGATAACAGTCTGGAGTCTGTCCGAAATGCATTTGGTGCACAAAGTCTCGAAACCGTGTATATGAACTGACTTGACATAAGCATTGAAAATTCTAATCTTGTTTTTTATGTCAAGTTCCGCAGATTTGCACACTGATTTAAGAATAATGAAGGTCAGTCTTGCATTTCAGTCCCGACTTTGACATCCTTATCTGTGCCGCTTCTAGTTGGAATGATGCTGCCCATTTAGATGACACATGAATCCCTCTAGATTTCGCAAGTCAAGGTGAGTGATACTTGGTGTCTGTTAGGTATCTTCATCAAATATGTCATTTCTGTGTCCATTTCAACTCCTGTTTTCGCTGCCTCTTCTCCTAACTTTTTTGTTTGTACTTGTAGATCTTCAGGTTTGTGCGACATTGCATACATGTGGTTCGTAAGGTTCAGATCTTCCAGAGGTTTCCTTTCGGTCCAGCGTGTGCCAGTCTTCTCGCTCTCCATGGTCTTCTCAATCATCCAATACACCACAATCAGGAGTATCTTCGGTGATAACGGGGAGAATTGTCTTACTCCTGTCACCAATTTAAATGTGCCATCATAATACAGCTGTTGAATGCGGTTTATGTTTTGGGGCACTCTATAGTACTGAAGTAGTTTTCAAATTACTTCACCTCATATTACATCATACTCAGACATATTCTACGCCGAAAAAAAATATCATTTGGATAACTAATGAATATGCACTAGTGTGGAGTAATTATTTGCGTGTTATCTAAGAAAGATTCGAGAGTTCTGTACCAAGGCTTAAAATCCTGGGAACTCATTTAAATAAATACCTTAGCCTTTAAAATACAAAATGGTCTTAACATTCGCAGATACACAAAAACTCAATTTATAAAACTGAAACTCTTTTCATCATCATTGTAGGTAGATGCATAAGAGAAAGAAATCAGAGACCTGACATATATGTGAATAATAACTGACCCTCCATATCACAGATAATATGAGATAGAAATGGTGCCAGTAATTTTTATGGGATCCACGATATCAGATGTGAAGACAGTTGTCTACCAATGACATTGCGTTGCAGATTATGGAGCAGTAAGTTTCAGCCACTTAGCCAAACGATATGTTCACCTTACACTAGACGGTTCACAGCTCAAATGCCTGAAAACTCATGAGTTCGCATTGTCGAGGAGTTCTGAACGAAAACCAAAATGGCTAATCAATGCTAACTGGTGTTAAATAGTAGCTCTAGCTAATGTCAACTGATAAATACAAGTTTATTGATATAACACAGGCTTCCTAATTCAAAACAAATATAATCAGGACTGATTACAGAGTTTTTTCAAGAGCTGACATCGGTTAGAGAACCACTGAAAAACCAGCTGGGGGTACTTGACAGCTGTTTCGTTCCAGTTTGGGACTCTTCATTATCGCGCACTCACCCCAAAGGTTTGAACCCATGACCTTCTGGTTTCAAGGCGACCTCGTGGATCATTAAGCCATTGAGACCCGATCCAATGGCTAGTCCATGAATTCCAACTTCTGCAAGTTCATGATATAGCTTGATCATCAATTAATGTCATCGGCGAGTATTTCTTCTCGCGACCAACCTGCTGCACCCTAGTGGTTACGCCGTCCCACAAGAACCCCAGGTAATTACTTACCTGAATAGGACCAGTCGCTAGTGAGCACCTCACTAATTTTCTAGTATTGGTTTGTAGGGATTTGATTGATTGGTTACAGGATTTCGTCATGAAGTGACATAGGTTAGAGAATTATTGGAAAACCTAGGAGTACTGGACAGCTGTTTCGTCCTAGTTTGGGACTCTAATGGTCCTATGGTTCTCTAACCGATGTCAGCTCATGACGAAATCCTGTAACTAATCGATCAAATCCCTACAAACCAATACTCGATAATCAGGACTGGAAGTCGTAACAGTTGTTGATTACATACAGACTCATTTACTACACATTAACCTCTATTAAAAGGAAAATCAGTGTTTTGTCTGAGACAAAACAAAAGTTGGCTTTTATAGTTACCGGATGTTAATTCATACAATTTTTCATGTTATTTCAATTAATAAGAATAAACAATTGACCTTCAGTTTCATACTGGATTTATCCATTCTGTCTTTTAGACTAATTTTTCTTCATTAAATCAATTTGTGTTTAAATATACTGCTGATGAATAATGATTTAATTTAGTCAATTTATTTGTTTAAATCCTTCATTTTAAACATTTTAATCCAATATTGTTTATACTTTCTATTTAAACACGATTTTCAAATGTTGTACACCAATAGGATAATAGTAATGACTCTCTATATGCACACAGTACAAAGTAAATAATTCAAAATCCACTCTATATAACATTCAACTTTTATAGCGTGTTTGTATATTTAGCCAAAGTTTACGGCTAGAGATTAGTATAAACATGCTTTGTCTGTATCACATTTGGACAGTAACAAACAATTGTGCTTACACTACTTTAGACACATTACATATATATATATATATATATATATATATATATATATATATATATATACTTAGTCACTTGTTTGCAATAGACTGTAAATAACAAGTAAACTAGGTGACATGAGAGATATTATGATCTCAGGATATCGAAGGAAATCAATAGCGAGAATATTTAATCAATCGCATAAGAAATTATATTATGCTAAGCTAGTCTTTCTAAATTGAAATGTGTTCAGCCAAACTATTGAACAGAATATGAACAAGATTTTTCACCAGTTTGACAGGATTTAATTTTTAATATGAAGGGTAATTTTAATATTGAGTACTCTTCAGGAACATATACAAACAAATTTATACAAACAAAATTGGAATAATGGTAAACCCATTGACTGGGTATAGGTATTCAGGGAGACCAAAAACACCTATCTTTGCTTCTTGAGAGACGAGATTAAAGGTATTGCTTACTCATGATATCGACAAAACCATTACTGATAAAAACCCTGTTTATCGATCCAGGTTATTCTAGCCATCCTATTGAAGTTTGATTCAGACAGTTAATGGACTTTTTTTACGGTGCCTACTTGTTTATAAATATATCTTGGACAAAAAAGCAGTTTGTAAAAGAGATCTTGCAGTATGTGACTGAATGTTTTCAAAGATGGTTAACATATTTATTCACACTGACGTTTGACACCTGCAACAGTTGACTCATTATCTACAGATCTCAACTGATATTATCATGAGGTTATAGTCCTAGAAGTTTTGATGCATTCAGATAACACCAGTCTATGAGTATCGAAATACCAAATTTTTAATAGTCTGACAGTGCAAACAGTCCGATTTGTCATTATTTTTGAAAGCGATCTGTACAAGCTGAATACATTCATTCACACTACACTACTCACAAATGCATAAAGAGTATTTGAAGTTAGTTTCCGGTTATAAAACTACTTTTTTAAGATTATCACTGAATACGCGAAAAAACCGAAGGAATCTACTAATGCCTCAGTAGTAGAACTGAAACATGCCACATAGGGAGATCCGGCTACGGTAACCGACCGGCTTACTACGAGCCTCTTCTAGTTTATCAACTGATGGTAAGTTCAGAAAAGTGAGAAGGTTGAGCGTGAGATTAGCAGCTTTGCCCTGTAAAAACAGCACTACCGCTAGTGAGACTCCAAAGCTTCAAGCTGTGTGTTACATTCAGGAGGCAAGGAATCAGCAAAGATTTATTATTTTTATTTTATTTTTGATTACAGCTTAACTCCACACCGTATTTTTGGTACAAGTATGGAATTTTCAGCATGGATATCGGTAGCCCGAAATTCGCAGGCCGACCATAGATATCAGATGTGCGTCGGTGTGGGCTCGAACCCCAGACCATGTTCATGGTCGGCGAGAGTTCTAACCACTGTGCCACCGACGCACTAATGAAGCACATTCACTAAACAACTGATTAGATAGTCTTCTAACTAAAAACAAGCATCATTTATATATATGAAAACAAAGAATACAATGGTGTTGTTCATCGTTTCTGGCAATAATATCTCACCATATCAAGTGACTATGAACAATGTACATTGCTTATAAGGTCACCCACCAAATAAAAACATTGTTATGCCATCTCAGAACTAAGATACGAAGTTGGCAATCGATCGTATATATAGTAGTTTTTTGTTTAGAAAAATACACCTACACATCTATAAAATAGCTAATCAAGTTTATGTTATAAGTATCACTGCAAGCTCAAAGTTATTTTGTTCAATTATTAATCTGCACTGATAATGTTATCTAGTAATATATGACAATGTTTGCGAACTAAAACCTCATCTAATAGAATAACTCAATTTGAATCCAATGTGTATGGTGACGCTATTATTTATGAGTGGTACCTCTATGAAACAATACAAATGTACAGTGAAACAAGAAAACGTAGCATTAAGATAAGTATCCTTGAATAAGGTTTAATATTAGACAAATTCAGCTCAAACAAAACTACTCAACACCATTAAACCGAGAATGAATCAAACCGAAATGTTTCAGTACTAAAGCCACTGTGATCACTATGCCAAATTAATTACAAGATTCTATATAAAAATAATGCTATTTCGGTGTAGTTTCTGCGTTCTCTGGGCTGGATAGTCCAATTGTAAAGTTGTCACTCCTCTTTTGGATATCTTTAACTTTGACTTCAGTGAGAAATGAGTTTTTCGAACTCCAGTCATGTTTGAAAAGAGAATGAAAGTTTCACATTCAAGCCATCTCGTCTGCAAGAATAAAAGAGCATCCACTACATACACCAGGACTATAAATATTCCCCCCATCATATCGAGAATACTAATACAAACTAGTGATAATATTCAATGATTTTCAAAATAAAAGTAATCCCTGTTCAGTGATTTTCATGTTTAGAATCATTCGTTGTAGGAAGAACAGTCAAACATATTTAGGCATGTATGTCACCATCAGAAAAGTCAGTTGAAAGGGCTTCGCCGAGTCTACTTTTTCTGTGTGACCAATACTAATAGACGTAGAAATCGAAAAATTATTCACTGTAAGACTAAACACCACTCTTCACTTAGTAGCTATACATTAACTTCACTTAAAGCGTTTTCTAATTTCGTAGTTGGCTTCACCAGGTCAGATGGAATGCGCCATATTTACACGACTTTGTGAACTCTTAAAATTGTAGAAAAAAATTTCTCCTCTGAAGGATTAGGTCTTATGTTTAACTTTTGAAATGCTGGCTACTAGGTAAAACAGCCTTAAAATGACTAACTAATACTTGTGTAAGTGGGTATACCCAATGGCAAAACGAAAGCTTGATTAACAAAAGAATTCCAACAGTGGATCACAGGATTTCTAGCCAGGAGATATCTCAGCTAAGTTGTGAGATAGTGGAAAAAAACAACACGCGATGTTATCAAGGAATACAAAAGTGGTTGTGCAATGGAAAGCAAAACTACTTATTAAGGATCATACTTGTGCATAGTTCTCCACAATACATAACCGTAACTTCTGCAAGGCATTCTGAAATACACTGTAACTAATAAATATATCCTCCCTGTAAAGCAAACAAAAGAAACAAAAACAAAGAGTAATTAGACGTCAAGTTATGAAATGTATTTTAATCAAAAGTTTTAAATAGGTAAACGTATATTAGGTAGTATCGAGATATGTAGAACTGAAGCATAACTTGAACTAAACATAGTTGAGTATTCTACTTCGAGTAGCATTTCAGTAAGTCAGTGATCAGGACATTGCTGACAAAGGTCTTTTCAGATTTGGCTTTCTTTTTAGCTTCAAACCATCACTCTTGAGTATCAGTAAACTAGTATGCAAAGTTCTAAGTAGCATATATGACAGTAAACTTTAACTTTCGGATTAACTACTATTTGCTTGACAAATGGGGGGAAATCGGATACACGCAGAGGGGACCATTGATTGATATCACACACCAGGCTCTCAAATTATTATTATTTTATTCTTTAATTCCTAGAGAAACATAGGGCTTCAACCGCGCGTCTCCATCGCCTTCAGTTTCCTGTCAACTTTTTCACCCCACTCCAAGTCTGCCCACATGCTTTCATCTCCTCCTCGCCTGACCTCCTCCAAGTCACGCTTGCACTGATGACCAACTCGCCGCTTCCCTCCCGGGTTTCATTCGAGCGATGGCTTGTCTAGTGATGTCACTTGATGGTTTCCTGAGAGTATGGCCAATCCATCTTCATTTTTTTCCGCCTATTTGTTTCACAATCGGTCCCTGGTTGGTTCGCTCATTGCAAAAGATCCCTGTTTCTGATCTTTTCTGGCCGGCCATCTGATCTTGAGTAGTGAGCGAAGACAACTGTCAAATGCTTTCCTAATAAGAGATGGCGAATTGAGTGTGGGTTCAGTGGCAACATGGAAGAGATCGTGCAAGGAGGAGATAAGAGCTTATTTGTAATCGTGAATCCAGCTGCAGAGGACCGTGGAGGATGGGATGAAACGGAAATGTTCTGTTGAAGCTTTATGCTCCACTCGGAACCTAAGAGAATGATAATAACAGTTATCACAATCAGTCTTAAAACCGAACTTTAATTAAATAGAATACTAGGATTGGCAAGTTTCAGATGGGAAAACACAAAATCATGCATAGGAGTGCATCATGTCAACTTGCTGCAATTTATAACAAAACGTACAACAATGGAATTTAGGGTGGAAATCAGTGTGAAATAAAAGTAATAAGGATATTTTTTAAAAAGATAAAGAGAGGTTATATTTCTACCACAGTAAATGATTTCAAGTCATGCCACTAAAAGCCTTCAACCACTGACCTGTTACAATTTCGGTGATCATAGTTGATATTACGAAGATGGGCACAGGTAGTTAATACTTAAAATTTATGAAATAATAACCACTAACATTCCACATTGAACATAATCACACAGAACAATGTTGATGGTGAATAGAATTGCAGATGAATTACAAAAATGCTGAAGTGTCATTGACTGTGTTAACTTTGATGAATAAAGTCAAATAACAGGAACCTTTACACCTAGGCTTCATACTTGAGCGCACATATCAACACTATGATCGTGAGGAAATGAATGCTCCCTTCGAAATTCGAGCTTTCATTATGATCAACCAATGAAGTAGACTTTTGTCACAGTGCTAGATGTTGCAGATGCAAATGATATTACCTACTCCAGTTTTGGACAAACAGACTATTACTGATATAATGGATGCTGGTTGACAGTAAATAAAATGAGAATCCTAATCATGGCAAATTGGAACCAGAGGCCTCCTAACTGGACAGCCAAGCACTTTAGAAGGTGAGCTGTAAACCAGCTTACCATTTCACTGTAATCGATACGGGTCATGTAGGATACACGATTCACTTTGAAACACAGTTCGTTTGAAGACATGCTATGATCTTACATATAGAATTAAAATTTACAACCAAACACTAAGCATCGTTTTCAGTTTTCATTCTTCCATAAGAAACGCAAACGACATGACTCATAAAGTGATAAAAACTAGATTGTATCAGTGAGAGAAAAAATGACTTTGAAGGATTATTTCCGTAACAAAATCGATAGATGACAGATAGTACCATTTGCAGCTACTGCTTTTAGTAATAGTTTATTTCAAATGTTTAAAAAAATTAGTGAGACAATTCCTATAATATGAATAGTGAGAATGTAAGTGAATTATGCAAATTCAAGATGAAAACTGGTACAGGAAGCGACGTATCCTCCAGCGCAAAAGTATGCTGATTTTTTGCATGGATAAGACAGACTAACAAACGAATTAAAATAGACTTTTTTTTGTATTTTGCTTTAAACAAATGCATTTCCAAAGTTATAAAGTGTTAGCGGGGGATTAGAGAAAAAGGCGTATAGTAAACGTGCAGAATCATCCTCGAATACACTACATCATATGCGATGTATAATTATCTTATGGTTATATTTATAAGCCTATCTTCATTCCATTGATTATTGCTATGCGACTTTATTGTTGACAGTCATTGAAAGAAACGTATGTCACTCCAACTATTGATCTAACTGTCACAAATATCTTTTTCAATATGTTTACTTATTTAAAAAACACAAGCTTGATTGAATACGGTTACCAAGAGATTCGCCACAAAATATTAAAACAAGAATATGCAGAAAAGAGAAATAGAACAGTTGTGGGACAATAGAATGAAAATGGGAAGGTATGCGGTTATGATGGACAGTCAATAAAAGCATTCATTACTTCATAGTAGCCAGAGAAATAAAATAAAGGAGAATATTGTAACATATTCATAACTGATTCTCATTCTGAACCGAATGTAAGTCATGTAATCTAAAGGGATTCCATCAAAAGAGTCATGATGCACCAAAAAATTCTTATCTATGACAAATATCATTTATGTTAAACGTCAACTACCGTTTGGTCTTATCCAGCTAATCTTAGAGATACTGAACGGTCAACGACAAGAAAGATGGTGAAAACATAACCGTAGTTCACAAATATGTCTTTCTAAGTGACCGGAAAGAATCACTAACAAGAAACTATGGATGAGAACAAACAAAACAAGAACCAGTCGCCAACCAACAAATATGCAGGAGAAAGTGGATATGGATGGATTGGATACTCACTTGCTGAGGAGGCCGCTGGGTGACATTGCGCGCGTCAGGCCATTGCTCGAGTGGAACCAGGCCGAAAGGGAAGCGGCGAGTGTGACGTCAATGCTAGGGTGACATAGAGGAGATCGTCTGAAGAGGAGTTGAAAGAGTATAGACTAACATGGATGGAGGTGAAAAGTACAGCAGAAGACAGAAGTGGCAAGTGGAGACGTGCAGCTGAAGCCCTATGTTCCACTAGGAACCCAAGGGAATAATAATAAGTGACTGTGAGTTTACATATTTTGCCCAGATCATAAATCATTATGATTAAAAGGATTGCAAGAACAACAAAGTTCAGCAAAGAGTCTCTTTTGGGTGAACTCATTCACTTAACTGTACAATCACGTTTATATATAATTATTCCGTGTGTGTGTGTGTGTGTGTGTACAGTAGGAGTATCAAAGAAGTGTTGCGTAATATGAAATAGGATGTTAACGGAGACACGCGTCCGAAAATAGATTGCGAAATAGGTAGAAAGAGTAAACAAAGGTTTGGTTAAGAAGAAGATCTTACTAGGATGGTGTACAAAAATTCAAAAACAAAAAAGGAAGAAAACAAAACATTCTTAACAAAGTCGTAGAAGTTTGAATTTTATCCAAGGTAGAAGAACGGAGTGGAGAAGTTTCTTCTGTGTGCATACATCAGGGTGTTCTACCGGGATCGCTAAGGCCTCAGTAATGCAAAGTATACGGAAGCTTACCGTTTTGGGGAGGCTTCTTTTTACTTTGCAGGTGACTTTGAAAGAATCCTCCTTACATACGGAGTGACCAGTGTTGACTATATGTTCGGTGACAGCACTCTTTATTTATCCACTGTTACCTTTTCATAGCCACGCAGGATAATGTAATCTGATTCTTATTTGCTCTTTCTGCCTATTACATAACTTATTTTTGGACACGTGCCTCCATTAACATCCTACTTCATATTATTCATGGATAATCCCCATCCAGGCATTAATGAAAACAAAACACGTAGATCAGCGAAGAGTATCTTTTCGGAGAATCCATTTTCTTAGCTGTACAATCGCAAATTGCACGTAAAAAGAAACTCTATATGTACTTGGATTTCAAAGGAGATTTAGCAAGCGATTTTCTCAGGAGAAGGATCACATCACCTCTGAGAAGAACATTCTTTGCAGCTATTTTAAGAATAGTGTTCTCCAGTAGCCCACTGATCTGCAGATGCCTCAAGGACAAGATCCCCCATTTGACCACTTCTATGTGCATATATCAGTTCACCTGCTTCTGTGAAGCCAGGTACATCGGTCGTTCGACGAGCATCCTGTTCAAGAGGATTCAAGAACACTATCCAGCATGGTTGCAATAAGGAGTGAGATAACTGAACACCTGGTTAACACTGATCATTCCATTTCAACAAATGCCTCCTGCTTCAAAGTAATCTACAGAGTCAAGAATAACTTATCAAAGGCAATATGGTTTCGCCTTCTTTGTATCGCTGAAGCTCTGACCATTCATATAGAAAAACCGGAGCTGTGCATACAAACGAAGATTACTCAACCACTTCTACTCTCATGGTAACAACCTTTTTAAATTTGATTTGATTTGAGTTTTTTTTATTTTGATGACTTAATTTTGTTTCTTTTCCTGTTCTTTAATTGCTTATAATTCTGCTATTCATTCAGAACTCTTAGGTAATTTCGTATTATCTACTTTGTTCCTATGTGCATCCTGAGTAAAACCCACTCATGAAACTATTCATAATATTACATAACTTCTTTTAACTACTGTTTGTGACAAATCATCACCTACCCTAATTTCATTAACACCTAATTTTCTTGACTGATTTTGTATTACGTAACTCCAATTACCAATCTTCACCTGTTTAGTTAAAATAACCATAACCAATTGTAATTTCGTTTAACAAACTTAATGTACACATACATACAAAATAACACATATTTATTTGCTATTGTACAGCTAAGGAAATGAATTCACCGAAAAGAGACTCTTCGCTGATCTACGTGTTTTGTTTTATTTCATATTACACAACACTTGTTTGACAATTCTAATGTACACGCACACACAAAATAATTATATATGAATGCAACTGTACAGCTAAGTGAATAAATCCACCGGGAAGAGACTCTTCGCTGACCTTTGTAGTTCTTATATGCATGTCTGGATGGGTATTTTCCGTGAATTAACAGCAACCTAATTTTGGGTTTATTTACATCCCCCAACTGCATGAATACTATTGGAGCACAACAGTGGATATTGTTTAATAATGACAACTTGGCCAACCATGGATTCTCAGACTCCTAAAAACCCTAAATAGCCATTTCATACTACGGTAAAGTAGGATAGAGTGAAGTTCTGTTCAGTGTGCATACGTCCTTCAATGGATGATCAGAGAAAGATACCTGTGTCATAGATGGTGTGGTGTAGCAAATTCCAAGCTTCTATTTTTAGTCTTCTTTAAATATTCCAATATTTCCTCTCTCTTCTGCTGATACACAGTATAACGTGTGATGATCACAGCCGACTGCTCTTCATCAAGATTCACATGTTTTCATTTTGTAGGGAAATCGAAAATTCAGTTGATTGAATAAACATCAGTGTCAAATTTAAATTCTCAGACAGGACTGATATAGATTAGTTGAACTGATAAGAGAAAACATGAAGTTGGGTGAAAATGTAACTTCACAATTATGGGGCGGATCACACACACTATCATTAATCTCTCAATGTGTAGTATTATATATATCAGTTTTCTGTCAATAAAATAATTCCAATAAACAGGAAGAGCCATTGAAGAGGTAGATTCAAATTATTCACAATAAATCAATGTAGCTTTAGCTTATCTATGTCATACATTGTTTCCATTGGTGTACTTATACAGATGAAACACTAGTATAGAACAAGATATATACTATCTTTTGTAAGAAAGTGGGAAAGGAGTAAGTAAGGTAGGTAGGTTAGAAAGTTTGAATATCAAATTTAATTTTTCCATTAACTGGTTCCCAGTAAATCTACTCAAATTTTTGAAGATAACACGATACTATATTACACTGCGTTTCTGAATGACAGATAGTATCGAAGTTGGCAAGACATTTCTGCCTATGCTTGTATTTCTTTTAAATATCAATCAGCTAGATGAATCCATTCCAGCAAGGGATAACACGATAATATACAGTTGAGTTTAAGCTGTTCTCATACAGGAACAGCCTATCAGGTGGCACAAATGAGCGAAACAGCTGCCCAGTGTTTAGATCGCCTAGATCTGGCTAGCAAGCCCTACTGGTTAATGTGATTGGTATTCAACTAGTCAAATCGATTAGTCAGTAGTGTACAGTGCTATACATTTATTCTTGTTTTCTTTACAGTCATTTATGGTATCAAAGAGATCACATATTGGGATTTGAGTAGTTTCAGTTTCCAAAGGAAACTGTGGTAAACATTCATCTTGGAACCGTATAAACTGCTGCGAATTGGATGCATTAGCTTCAAAATCTGAAAGAAACTATCTGTTGAAATAATAGAGATGTGTAGCTCAGGTAGGTGATTTGATTTTGATTTGATTTTTGATTTAAAGCTTGATTCCACACTGTATTTTTGGTACAAGTATGGAATTTTCAGCATGGATATCGGTAGCCCAAATTTTGCAGGCCGACCATAGATATCAGGTGTGCGCCGGCGTGGGCTCGAACCCCGGACCATATGCATGGTCGGCGAGAGTCCTAACCACTGTACCACCGACGCACAATCAGTAGTGTTCTCTGAGCTGGTTGGTTTAGTTACGGAGCTTTCGTTGTCCTTCTGGACAACATCTTCAGCGTAATCTTTAGCATAAAGTGAACTGAATTCAATTCTCGATGAATGACAGAATTGCGTCTCCCGGTAACTACTTTTACATATGTATTGATCATTTTTATTGACTTGGATTTTAAACTTTCTGGTCGTCTGATTTAATTTTTGTTAGTTAATGTATTTGGTCCATATTAACATGTTTGTTAATCACATATTCAAGTGTTGGTTTGTAGGGATTTGATTGGTTTCAGGATTTCATCATGAGCTGAAATCAGTTCGAGAACCATTGGAAAACCTAAGAGTACTGAACAGATGTTTCGTCCTAGTTTGGGACTCTTCAGCAGTACGCACCCACCGGGATTCGAATCCAGGACCTTCCGGTTACAAGGCAAGCTCAAAAGCCATTAACCCACTGGGACCTGTTCCAATGGTCCTTGAATTCTAAATTCTGCCAATTCACGACATAGCGCGACCGCTAGCCAATGTCTTCGGCGAGTATTTGTCCTCACACCCGACCAGCTACACCCTACTGGTCACGACTTCCCACTGGAACCCAGGTAACTACCTACCTGGGTTCGAATCCCGGCGGGTGCGTACTGATGAAGAGTCCCAAACTAGGACGAAACAGCTGTCCAGTACTCCCAGGTTTTCCAATGGTTCTCTAACTAATGTCAGCTCATAATGAAATCCTGAAATCACATATTCGTTTGAGTATCAGGCTTCTAGGAATTCTCAGGTACGTTTGGTGTTTCCTCTGTTTAAAATGTCTACATTATCCCAATCATATTGGTGTCCAGAATTATCTACATGCATAGATATGAAAGAATATTTATCATGTCTTTTCACAGCTATTTGTGTTCCTGGATTATGATTCGAAGGGGACGCCCAATTTGGCCGACGTAATGTATGTCACAGTTTATACAACTTACTATGTAAATACTATTAATGTTATCTCCTTTTTCTGTTGGATTCTTCGGTTTGCACAATATCGAATGAAGTGATTTGACTAGCTTCTGTGTCCAGAAGGACGACGAAACCTCCGCAACTAAATCAACCAGCTCAGAAAACACTACTAATTGCAAGAAACTAACTGTGTTTGAGGTTATAATCACTTACCTATCAACTGTTAACTAACCACAAGGCCTTGGCCATATGACTATTTAACATTAGATATGTGTATACAGCGAACAGGTCTCAAACAGTCAACAGTTTGGATATGAGGAGAAGGAAAATGCATTACATTCTTTTCTAATGCTTTCTATCACTATACAAGAAAAAAGTGGCGACTTACTCTGTAGGTGTAGGACGATTGTTTGAAAAATTATTTTGAGGTGTAAACTGATCCGTATCACTGTAATCCTAAACATTTTTTAACAAAAACAGAAAAAAATGTATCGATTAAATAAAATTATTATTGATTTTTTAAATGTTCATATCAATGTATGATTAAATATATACAATAGAAATGCAGTCAACTGATTTTCCGGTCAAAACTAGTCATCTCTGTATTGGTGGTGTACAGTTGGCTAGTTTAACTCACAAATAGTGCTTAAATTTACTTTTACAACAGAGCAATTCGTTAGTGTAGAGCGGCTTTTAGTAACTTGTTCATGCATGTCCGTAGTATATATGTCGATAAAGTAGATAACCAATGATGATATTTATTTCATGACACATTTGGAGCCAAAATAACTCCTTTTTGTATTTATACCATAAAAAAAGAGACACATCAAAACACTATGTCTTTTCTGTCTTGTTTATTGACATATACTAGTATTTTTAGAAGTGTCAAGTTTTTGCACAGTTTTCAGCCAAATAAGGAACTGGTTCGAAGCTTTAGCTATTGGTTAAATTTTCAAAGGGCAGGTTGTCAACTATTAACAATTAAAGAACAGTTTTTGGATTGTAAACAGCTTCTCTATCACATTACCAGTCGTGCAGTCATTGCTTATTAGTCTGAGTGCTCAATTTCCAACCATTGGGTACCATAGTACCACTGACTGACTTCACATTGGAGATGAAAATCCGGATCTTATTTTTGATGCTGTGTGCTGCTGACCTCCACACAGACTTGAGAGTAATGAAAGCTTGTCTTGCTTTTCCGATTCTTGCTTTGATATCCTCGTCAGTTCCGCCTGTAGTTAAAACTATGCTTTCCAGGTAAGTAGGTAAAGGAGGCTGTTTCTTTCAGGTTCCTCTCATTTATGCTGGCTGATTGTTGTCTGTTGTTGCTGTTGGTGTTGGCCAGGAATCTTCATCACCCCTGTTATATCTATGTCCACTTGAAGTCCCATCTTTGATGCTTCTTCTTCCAAATTGTTGCTTTTCACTTGTATATCTTCCAGTTTGTGGGAAATCAGACATATACATCACATCGGCGAAGTCCAGATCCTCCAAGTTTTTTGTGTGAGTCCATTTTATGCTCATTTCACATAGACCTATCTAATGTGGAAATATATTCTACCACAGTGACCAAATCCCAATCTTACATCAATAAGAAATCTTTGACTTATACAGCAAATTCAAATTTCTAGAGGCACAGAAACAACTTAGATTACGTCACATATTAATAACTATTCTGCTAATACAAAACAATGAAAAAGGTCAACGTTTTCATATCAATCCATCATACAGAGATGGCCAACTTCTTTTAAGTTGACCCCCCTGCCAACCTTTACTAGCACAAATCCCTGAAAGTTACTCCTGTTAAAGGATTTCATCATGAGCTGACATCAGTTAGAGAACCATTGGAAAACCTAAGAGTACTGGACAGCTGTTTCGTCCCAGTGTGGGACTCTTCATCAGTACGCACCCACCGGGGTTCGAAACCAGGATCTTCTGGTTACAAGGCGAGCTCGTATATCACTAAGCCACTGGGACCCAATCCAATGGCTCATGAATTCTAACTTCTGCCAATTCGCGATATAGCGCAACCCCTAGCCAACGTCTTCGGCGAGTATTTGTCCTCACACTCGACCTGCTGCACCCTACTGGTCACGACTTTAAGATTTGGTTGACTGGTTACAGGATTTCATCATGAGCTGACATCAGTTAGAGAACCATTGGAAAACCTAGGAGCCCTGGACAGTACTGGACTCCTGTTGTCTCATCATTCTGCAAACAGATGATCAAGATGCGTGTATGCGCCACTGATGTAAATAGTCACAAGTAATCAAGTGTGTGTATATGCACTGAATACATCGACGGTTTTAGTTGATCATGTGATAATGTGAACAAATTGGAAATAGATTATCTGGTGAAAAAACAAATTATATTGTACAGAAATAGAAAGACAAGAGGAGAGAGAGAGAGATATGATATACTTATAGAAACGCTACACTCTGCTCAGTAGTATTATGTAAATCTAATCGATTGATAAGAGTTCTTTCTTTGTACCTTAATGAAAATGAAGAATTTATGTTTATTAAGCGATTTTTTTTGCTCTCCGCCACAAACACATAAGTAAATAGATAGTTAAAATAAGATTACATATATAAAAATAAAATACCTTTTTAACAGATGGTTGGTCAACGTCTTTAGGCTCTAAGATTAACTTCAATGGTTGATCCAATCGATGGCACAGTTGAACTTGATAACAGTCACACAAACGAGCTTCTCTAAAACCAAGAAGTAAAGATAATTAAATTGTGTAGAAATATAGGCATTCTATTATGAAACACACTTTGAAGGTTGATTTTAAATTTTGTTATGTGAGACATTAGTCCTACGACCACCTTCACCATAAAATGAAAACTAGAATGAAACACGTTCCTACTGGATCATTACATTTTACATTGTATTGGCGTAGTATCAAAGTTATCTACATTATGAAAGCGATTCGCTGTATTGATTAAATCACAAATATCTGCTTATTGTATATGGCTAATAAAACAAACAAACAAACAAACATGCTGTTTCTCAGTGTCTTTTGACAACCTACCAATGTCTCCTTAGTGTACAAAATATAAACATTTGACCCCTGAGCTTTAAATATTTAGGTGTACAACATTCTGAAAACTCCTTACAGTTCCCACAAATATGAAAGTTCTTTTACAAGTATTGGTTTTTTGAAGGGATTTTATTTGATTGGTTGGAGGATTTCGTCATTAGCTGATATCATTTAGAGAACCTTTGGAAAACCTGCAGGGAGTACTGGACGACTGCTGCGTTAGCTTGGTTTGGGACTCGCCGTCGGTATGCACCCACCGGGGTTCGAAACCAGGACCTACTGTTTACAAAGCGAGCTCGTAGACCCGATCCAGTAGTCAGTCCATGAATTCTAACTTCTGCCAATCCATGATAAAGCAACTATTTCGCAACGTCTTCTTCGACGAGTTACTGCCTCACCTTCAACCTGCTCTACCTTACTTTCACGACATCCCACTAGAACCCCATTTTAACTGCTCGAATACCGCCGGTCACTAGTGAGCATCAGAATAATTTTCAAGTTTTGGTTTTTCGCAGGAATTTCGTTTGATTGATTGGAGGATTTCATCATGAGCTGACATGGTCTACGAGTTCACCTCGTAACCAGGAGGTCCTGGATTAGAACCCCGGTGGGTTCTTACTTTGAAGAGTCACAAACTAGGACGAAACAGGTGTTAAGTATTCCCAGTTGATTTTCTAATGGTCCTCTAACTGATGTCAGGTCATAATGAAATCGTCTAACCAAATGTGAAGGTTATTTTTTTGTCTAGGGGGATGGATATTATTGACAAAAATAAGGTGCCATTTTGACTTTCTTTAACCAACATACAAACGTATGTGAATGGCGTGTTAAGTCTTTAGTTTTTCTCTTTAGTCAGGACAGAGAAATGCAATTCTATTTGCTTCTTCTACTCTTGTCATGAAGCGTGTTCCTTCAGCTTGTTAGTCAGTAGTGATGCCGGTTGTGCTTTTATCCAAGGTATTAAGCTTCAAAACAATGGGAGTATTCCGCAACTTCAGATAGGATTGTAATCCACTCGATTATCTCTAAAGTTTGATATCAACTAGACATAATGAATGACATACACATCCAGATGCCTAATGATTGTTTACATAAAGTTTTGGAGTATTCAGTTTATTTTCATATATGTTGAATTTCCCTGTCAAAGTATTAAGTAGATGATATAGTACAGATAAATGGATGAGAAGTACAATTTATTGCTTATATTCATATACAATAAACTAGTCTAATATGAGATAATATCCAACCCTAGCGCCTAAGGTTCCCTGTTAGAAGTAATGGGACTCTTTTACTTATCTCAGTTCATTTTATTATTGATATAACTTCCAAAATCATGTTTTCAGCTGCCGCACCTGGCAGACACGACAGTAATTATTTTTCCTTGCGTTTCAAGTGGAACATAAGGCTTCGAGAGTTTGAAATTTCGGTTAACAATGGTGCTTTTATATGGGGGACTTGCTAGTTTCACTACCAACCTCCCCTCTTTTCCAGGCTTACTACCTACCAGTTAACTAAACGAGGCTTAGCAGCTATTTCACCGGGAATCGAACCTAAACCTCCATGTGTGGCTGGCTAATTATCCTGTCATTGGACTATCGATTCACAGGAAGGAATTTTACTTGTTCATGTTAAATGGTTGGAGACAATCGACAGGAAGCCTTGAACCTGACACTCACCAGTAAGGAAGACGTACCTGCAATATTGAAGGGACTCATGTCCCATGTGAAATTTGAACCCATGTCACCCAGTGCTGCAGTCAGAGATGTTATCACTGAGCTATTCGGGCTCACGACTGGTCTCTTTAGGACTGTAGTGGATACTTTGACTGGAAACTAGCTAGTAACTAGTGTAGTGTGTCCAGTCTTTTGTTTGGTACAGACTGAATTCTATCAATTACGTTTGCAATGTGTCCACCATTGCCTCCAACCATCTAATATTAACAATTCAAAGTGCGTCATGATGACGAGCCACCTAGAATGTTGGGCACATTGCAAACTTGACTGATAGAATCCAGTCTGTATCCAACAAAGGAAAAGACACACTACACTAGTTACCAATTAGTTCCGATTGAAGGAATATCAGTATAATCATACCTAACATAGACAAACGATCTAGCTCACAGCAATCTAAGAGATGGTAATGCAGAGCAATAAATTATAAACTTTAATCAGCCCAAAACAGTGAAATTACAATCTGATGAATTATTCTTTTGTTCTATTTATTTATTTATTTATTTTATTTATTTATTTATTACAGCTTGATTCCACACCGTATTTTTTGTACAAGTATGGAATTTTCAGCGTGGATATCGGTAGCCCAAAATTCGCAGGCCAACCATAGATATCAGGTGTGCGTCGGCGAGGGCTCGAACCCGGGACCATGTGCATGGTCGCCGAGAGTCCTAACCACTGTGCCACCGACGCACATTCTCTGCAATTCTCCAGTTTCGTCAGAATACACGAGATTGGGAAAGTTGTGTTAAGGCAGTTACTGTACTATACAATGCAGCATTAAACTAGACATTACTTCACGTCGTACAAAAAACCTTTAACAGAAATTATTCTCCAACTATATAGATTTGATGCTACCCATAACACATTAGTAAATCAAATCATTTTGAAGTTCATGGTGGTTCTTTTTGCTGGATAGCCTTTATAGATTATGAAAACTTTAAGTAAATTTGAATCACTTACGGATGTAACAGTTCAGCTCTTCCTTGAAGGCGTAATTGAAATTGACTGGCATCTAGAGAGATTTCATTATGAGGAAGTAGATCATTTGCAAGCGCTTCTAGCATGAGTTCATTAACTAGTGTAGTTGTAGCTTAAAGAGAAACATGGAAACAGACAGGATTTAGTATTAAATATCAAGTAGCTATGATGATATGCTTAAAAATCGATTTTATTCATTTAGAACAACAACTCATTATACTCAACTTACAGATAATCTTATGCATTAAAAATAAGGCAACTCCCTTATTTGATTATAACAATGATATATATATATATATATATATATATATATATATATATATATATATTTATACGGTTGGCTCTGCCTCTCTTGTAGAAAATCATAAACAAATTGTAGTTTCAGTATGGTTATGGGTCTTTGAATAGTGTGACAATATGCTTAAAGTGTAAAGTGAATTGAATACAAAACAATGACTAGTAGGCAGGTAATCAATTATTCAGGTTAAAGATTAACTTTTCAACTTTCAATATGCAGGGAAACATTTTCTTTCACTAAACAGTTAGTTTACTGGATATGGAACACAATGACACATTAGCATTTATTGGATGAAAACTCAAACACAATATATTGCCTAACAGGATATTGCCAAGAGGGATAACATTTGCTCAAAATTTAATTGAAGTGTATTATTATGCACCTAACTCAGGTAATCTAATTTCTAAGAGAATTTCACTCTAACAAAGTATCTTTAATGCCATTCTATTTCGCTTACTTGAAGATTTCTAGTAAACCTTAGAACATGAATAACTTATTTCATGTATGACAAACAAATACCTTTTAAGGTCTGATAATGGATTGATACTAGTCAGACAACCATTGAAAACTACAGCGTAACAGAGAGATTTATCGTCCCCACAGGTCACGACTTCTTACTACAGATCCAGGTATTTACCTACCTGAATACGCCAGTTGCTAGTGAGCACCAGATTCATATTCATGAATTGGCAGAAGTTGGAATTCATGGGTAACAGTTGCTTAATGCTCCACGAGCTCGCTTCGTAACTGGAAGGTAGAGGGATAGAAACCCAGTGGGTGAGTGCTGATGAATAGTACAAGACTCGGGAGAAACAGCTGTACAGTACTCCCAGCTGGTTTTTAAATGACTCTGTAACCAAAGTCAGATCATGATGAAATCCTGTAATATCATCATATATTACCGTATAATATTACATATAATATGTATGTTATATATATATATATATATATATATATATATATATATTACCAATAATATAATAAAAATGACTGAAGGTAAACAATTGTTTTAGAAATACTAGGCATTCAATCACTCAAAATGCTGAAAATGATGACGATCCGAATCAATTGCAAACGATTGGTAAACAATCAACTGAATGAATCGAGTTATCTTTAAACTACATTTATAAAAGAAAATCAATATTTAATTTCTTAAAAAACACACACACATCAATAATGAAAAGAAGAAATTGTTTTCAAACTCACGATCACAAACTAAGCGTAGACGAGGAATAACTGGTGGACTGTTCACTGAACTAGCAGATACACTTTGACGCGATCTCTTCCTACCAGCTAGATGTGCTGTGATGCGTACTTCTAATTGTGGAATACACCATCTAGGCGTATTTGTCCAATGAGTAGGAGTACTTTCTTGAAAGTGAGGGTTTTCTTTTACTTTAGGATATACATGAGATACATTGGAGGCTCCAGTTTCTCCCTCCCATGACGGATTAGACTGTTGATTAGATAATGAACGTGCAGATGCATTGATTCGTGGAGTCGTTAGTATTTCATTTGTTAAAGTATCATTATATACACTGTCGAATGCCCATGAATCAGGAGGTGAGTAAAAATCCTCTGAGAATTCTTTATTCTGTTCACTTATGTCACCAAGATCACTGATCAGTGTAGAAACTCTCGGTCTGTTGTACTTTTGTCTACGCAGGCTATAATATAAGTAAAATTATGACTGATATGAGTGAAGAACACAGAAATTAATGTATGCGCAAAGCTTAGACAGTTATGTAATATGTAATTCTGTTCCAGTTTACTTGTTAACAAAAAAAACTATGCAAAAAATGTGTTTCAGTTAATTACCTTTTTAAACACCAGTGTGGAAACAAGGAAGTTTAACACAAGAAAGAACTATTAGAAAACAGATGTAAGAAATTCTAATTATCGACTCATATCATCATACATTTATTCCCCTTAATGAATAGGAATAAAGCAAGAACAACAGCTTTTTGCAGAATAAAATGTTATCATCATTTATTTCTTTGTCTTCTCATCAACTGCTTGCAGCTTTAACAAAGAAGTGCTTATCAATCTTTCCTTGCTCTGATAACTGGGTACTTTCATCCCATCTTTCATCTGATTAAGTAATGTGGAAGGTTTTCATTGTGTGTGATCATTATTGTTTGGGATAAAGTGTTTATTATCACTATTATTAGCATTGTATGCATATATTGACTGAATGATTTTTGTTTAAAAATGAACTCTGTGAAAGTATTTTAAAATTTCGATAGAGAAAGAAAGACCAGATTTGCCGTATAAAATGATATCATTCTATTTCACAGGTACTCATCAACTGCAAACTACCCGAAATTACAATATTTATTAAAAATAACATTTCATACTATACAGTACTGCATGATCTATAAACCAATCGAAACTGGATAAGTACCCTACTGATGTTACCTCCAACTGCATTTATAAATTTACGCGCACCTGCGGCAGCAAGTAGATTGGAAGGACAGAAAAAAGGGCTTCTATCGGGTTTTCAGAGCATATTTCAAGAAAATTATGCCTGGAAGTAAGCAGATATTCACAAAGTGCAATTACCAGACACCTTGTGGATACCAGTTGTTTTGTCGAGATTTCTAAATCCTTAAAAATATTGAACATAGAAAGTACAGCAAATCTACTACGATATGCTGAAGCAACTGAAATCGACCGTCCCATACCAAACTTATGCACACAGAAACAGTATGTAGTCAAATCTCTCACTACCTTGGTAACCATATCACTTTCATTACACTGATTAGTCATACACACTAGTGAGCTCAACTCACTAAGCAAGTTTTCAAATTCATGAACTTTGACCTTCTTGAGTTGCTATGTTGACATCGTTTATTAGATTTTTCTGTCTTCTCTCACCACCACCCGCTGGCTTTTTGATTTTCCATAGTTTGATAGTATATAAATTGATGGTAACTTAAACTATAAATTGTAACACTTATATTCCAGATGCGTTCACCTTACAATGTTTTTTCTATTACCTTTCAAACAATGAAGTACGAAATGTTATTATTTATAACCATTGTAATTTCAGGTAGTTTGCAGTTAGCTGATGAGAACCTGTGAAATAGAATGATATCATTTTACACTACAAATTTGGTCTTTCTCTCTCTATCGAAGTTTATCAAGGGGACCAAATGTATGCTAAACCAGTCGATAAACTTAGAGAGCATATAAAACTCTGAATACACAGATTTGAACTTATTCTAATCTTATTAATTTTCATTAAATGTCCACCGGACATTATTACACATTATTAACTGAGTAGTTTTTAAGCTACTTTTATAAAAGAAAAATCAATATTTACTTTTGATTAAAGATCAATAATAAACTGCTTATAAAAATACTTTCTAAAACAATCAATCAATGTAATGTAAGCAGAAAAAATGCACACACGTACACGTGCACATTTTTAACACATTAATTTGGCTACTGCATAATAATCGATTATTATCAGTCCTTTACAGTAATATATATATATATATATATATATATATATATATATATATATATATATATATATATATATATATATATAATAATACAAAGTACTAGCTGTACCTCATTTCAATGGAATAAAGTACAGTCGGTGCATACGCAATCACTGAATTATATTTCAATTGAATTATTCTGTTTTGAAGTATTCCTGTTTTGTATGTGAGAAGATGAGTGAGAGTGTGTATGTGGGTAATATCACAGCTTGTAGAAAAGTAATTATGATAAATTTTGTGTAGAGAAATATCTAAAGAGGATATTTTCTCACTTTGATGACAAAAACAGTTTTTTAGACATCCTTATAATATCTATCATTTAGTTGAACATAAATAGCACAGGTATAAAACGATAAGAAGATTGATTGTACTGTTAGGTGAGGTGATAAGGCTAACTACGTACTATAGAGCGAACATAAGAGGCTGTGAAGAGTCTTTCAAGTAAAATACTAAATATCTGTTAAAAAAGACTTTGTTTAGTGTAGCAGACACTTTTATAAGAAACCTCTTTTAACCTGAAGTTTGTGGATTCCATCACTAGTGGGGTCATGGATGCGCACTGATGAAAAGTCCCAACATAGGACGAAAGAGCTGTCCTGTCCTAGAGCTGTTTCTCCAGTGATCTTTAACTAATACTGGTTCGTGATGAAATCTCTGTTGAAATCGAAGAATGCATTTGATAGTGAAAAGTCAGAAGAGATTTTCACCTTTGATAGAGTAAGAAGATTAGAAAACCGCATCATTGTACACAAGCTTTATGACAGTAACTCCTATAGTGATACTCAAGGCATTACTTTTTACCTTATACGAAAGGTAGCCATCATTGATTAGATGCTAACATACTTGATACTACTGCTCTGGAATGCAATCAACATCTCTTGAACAAAAATAACTGGGCAATAACAGATAGAATGTGATATTGCATATCTACGATTTTCTGAACATCTACCAATAAGCTTATGTCTAAAGGGAAAAAGTGCTTTAAACAGTGCCATCGCCAGCCATCTCCTTAACACGAGTTATGTGGTGGACGTCGAAAAGTCGTCCAAAATTATCAATAGACAAAAGAGCTCAATTCTCCTCAAGTTTCCCGAAGCCGTTTCCACCAAGCGCCTGATGGAAACCTGATTTGTGTGTTCAGAAAGAAGCAGTTATCAGTCTTTCTTTCCCCGGTTACTGGATATTTTGATCTCTTTTTCATCTGAATGCAAAATGCTAAAATGATTCCATTGTTTATGCTTACTATTGTTCGGAATAGTGTTTAATACTGGATATATATATATATATATATATATATATATATTACTATATGCATATATTGACCAATTGATTTTTGTTTAAAATGAACTCTGTGCAAGTATGTTAAAATTATTTCTGTAGATATATTTATTAATGTCTTTGACCTGTAAGCAGCTGACGAGAAGGCAACGAAACTGTAGTTCCTGTTTTGTTCAAAAAGATAATTCTGTTCAATTCTGAAAATATTCGTCCCCTTCTCCTTCCTCCTTCGTTTACAGAAGTGTGGGGAGGGAAGGTGGGCTAGGAAAGGAAACTAATTGATTCGTCAGGTCTTCAAGAATTCTCACTGTTAGTTAACCAACTGAAATTTACAGTCGATTGCAAAAAATTTTTAAAAATCAATCCATGTTAGACTTAAGTCAATGGTAAGTTAAGGAAAGCATTGCCAAGGTCAACTAAAATGCAAATTTGTCCAATTTGGTATAAAAACAAACAGTAATAATAATCATCAAAGTGAAATCAAAACTCTCAACCGCTGATTAGTAAGAATAGGAAAAAACATTTTGGTAGAAGGTTGTGATGACAGGTCACAACTTGGATTTCTACCGAGTGAAACCATTAAGGAAGAGAAATGCTAATAAGTGGTGTTTTTTTCATCTAACCAATCAGTATTAACCTCTTCCATTACTCGCGAAATATTCGTTAGCTCTAATTCTTCAAAAAAGTTGACTGACTATGTTACCTAGGATGACATCTTAAGTTCTTTGGATAAAAGAAAAACGAAGATAGTAGAAAAAACTGTTCATTTCAAAAATTAATTCCATGGCTGAATACTGTTATATAATGACATTCAGGTTATTGATTAGTCTATAAATATTCATCTCCCGAACAATATGAGACAATTTACGTCGTCGCCAGCCCTACGACTAATGTTTTGGTGCAAGAAACTATTCAACCAGCACGTGAAAGACAAGTTGTCGCATTGGACTACCTCAGCATGCATGAATCAATTCACTTACTCTTGCGGAGTATACATCCATGATTTCTCTTGTAAAAAGCACTCGCTAGCAAAAGGAGCAAGCCGGTGTGTATTGAACTCGATAGTAGGATATCTACTGAACTCATGACATTCAGTTCCATTTGAATAGTCCTTCAAAGACGCATACAAGATCCATTCAAACCTCTCAAAGGGAATGAGCTCAAGGCATCTGAGCAAAGCTAAGGCATTAACGATCCCGAAGTTCAAGCACATGATGCTTCTTATTTAAAAGAAATACGTTTAGCATTTGTCCCTAGCACGACCTTCATAAACAGTCATTTCTCTCAATAGTAATTATCCGATTGCGTTTCTAATCAAAACTTCATGTTTAATTCTGTTATTTTTGAAGTTTTTAATCTCTATTTGCACAACTACGTCTTTTTATCCCAACCTCTGTCCATTTCATTATTAACTACGTTATTAATCCCTAATAGCACAAAATATCAATTTTCTTAATAATTATGATTCTTGAACAAAGCAAGAACTACAGTTTTAGCAGAATAAAATGGTACCATCTTTTATTTTGTTGCCTTCTCGTCAGCTGCTTACATGGCAAAGACATTATTAAATATATCTACAACAACAATTTTAACATACTTGTACAGAGTTAAGTTTAAACAAAAATCAATCGATCAATATACTCATACACTAAATATATATATATATATATATATATATATATATATATATGCAATATTAGCCACTATTCCGAACAATAATAATCAAACACAATGGAAACTTTTAGCATTTCACATTCGGATGAAAGAGAGGTGAAATTATCCAGTTACCAGGGCAAAGAAAGGCTGTTATGCTTTTATCGGATCTTGTTGTTTAATTTGTTATTATTATATTTTTAGTCTCTATATGTAATCTGGTTAAT